ATTTGAGTTTACTTCTTGTGGATTTTCGTTCTAAAATATAGTAAAGCCCGCAAATTGAATAAGTGGACAGTGTCGACAGATTGTACCAAAAACTGAAGTATTACCAGAAACTGACTACTATTATTACCCACTTCAAGTGTGCTGTGCTGAAGATCGCTTTTTAGCTAGGAGAAATAAGCTACACCAATGACGTGGTTAGTCGATTTGTTTACTTATTTCGTGTAGCATTGATGACGTAACTGTCAGAAGCGGTGAAAAGGACTATACTCGTATTCAACCATCAGATGCATTCTCACCGAATCAGTGCAATATTTAAAATGTTGCATATATGCATCACCTCAGTAGTAGGTTTCCATTTAACCCAAAAGCTAACAGCGAGTAGAAAACAAGATCTATTATAACAACAGTTAGTTACAATAACACTTCTGAACGTTTTTGGAACATACTAATGCCCGAAAAATTTTGGAAAAAGGTTTTTTTTGGGTTGCGGAATGCCAAACTGGTGTTTCTTTTGTCTACTTTGAGTTTAGAGTAACCTTAATTTGACCTTGAAGTAAACTCCAGATGACTTTTCCCGTCAAAGCCAGATTTAGATTCAGAAACCCAGATTATGAGGTTTTCACATAGAATTAAACACCTTTACAGCCTTCTGTCTTAAAATAATCTAAATTTGGCCTGTATGGCCACACTAGGCAAACGGCGCCAGATTTGGATTCAGTGACCCAAAAAACTACAATCTTTTTTTTTATTTTTTAAGCAATTTTTCTAAACGTTTCCTTCAAATGACGTTGTAACTAGCGCGATAGAGGTAACCCCAAAAACTCTAAGATACCCTTATAGGGTCCAGTAATATTGAGATCAAATGTTGATCAGTATAGTAAGTACCATCAGACCTAACGATTCTTCAACATTGCACCAACATTTTTCTTCTAATAATGCATGGTCTTATTTTCTTTGCAAGGAAAAGCAATAAAAGCTCTAGTGACGCAAATTGGGGTTGCACATAAAATTCAGTTTCATTGTCTAAGAACTAGAGGCACAGCCGGAAAAGAGGTATTATGTCCCATTTATTTTTCACTTCCTCTTAGGAGAAAAGCAGACTCTAAGAAGACACGTAAACAAGCCCTGAAAAAGGTTATTTATTCATCTTGAGACGTTTCTCGCTCACTTCAGTTATTTAGGGAAGCATGCAAAGATGCTGTATTTATAGGAATGTTAAGTAATATATAATTGGAGAAAACATATTGGCTGAGCCTTTATTTATCCGTCTTAAAAAAGTAAACAACAATTCTTAGTTGGTTATGGTTATTAAGTGTATTGATAACAAAGACAATAGATGCAGGTTATCCTCTTCGCCCAGACCCCTGGATAAAGTAAATACATATCACAAATACCCTGGAACTTAATGTTATAGAAAAAATATTATATAGACAGAGTAACCATGAACTCTCTCAATTTAACATTTTCCATGAAGCCACTGATAGGACCGGTTTGTTTTATGTATTAATAGTTTTGCACAATTTAATTGAAGTTTGCTCTGCCATTTCCTACTAGGATCCTTAATTTGTTTTTTCAGATTTACATATCATCTAAAGCAAAATACCAATTATTATAAATCCAACTAACAACAAAAATAAAGACAGGGGTGCATACAGTATCCGCTTTGTCGTATCCGCTTTTTTCGAGATCACTATTTTGCAGTTCTCTGATTTTCTACCAAAACCATCGATGAATTCTTTCGTATTTGTGTGATCGAGAAAGTTGGTTAAACACAGGTCAGATACCTTGAAAATCCATTCGTGGGGGTATTTAAGAGTTGAAGTTATAATCTTAAAAATCAATATTTCACGTACATTATTGTCATTGTCCTTGAAAGAGGCCATCGTAGTGGTCAAAACGTCGTACAATAAACAAAAGTTCAAATACATATGTGATTTGGCCAGACAATGGAGATCTATGAACATGAAAAGTACAGGAGTTTCAGTAGTTAGATGCAGTTATCTATAAGAATTATCATTACACATTTTCCTAACAATCGCCATTCCTGAGATGTAGTGACTCAAAAAGTTGAAAAACTCTGCAATTGTCATTTCGAATTCAGCAGTCTACGAGTATTTTTTTGTTACAGTTCGTGGTAGGCTTCTTCAGCTTTCTGGTCCTGCTCTGCTGCGAGGGGGCCACAGCAGGATTTAGGGCATCCTTGGTGCCTATCCATGCCTCATTCGGCCTCACGACATTCATACTAGCCATAGCGGCTGCCCTCACCGGACTCACAGAAAAGGTTATGTTCACGCTTGGGTATGTACATCGAATTCTAGCAACTCGGTTACTATATTTGTTGAACTACTTCTACATACATGCAGTCATTTTGCACCTAGTGTTCACTAAAACAAAAATTCGATTAGTAATTTCGGATATACTCCAAGATAAAAGATTACAGAAAAATACAGAATGTACAAAAAGATACGAATTTGAAAATATATTTTGAATCGAGACATTTTTTTGAAAAGGATGATGTCATAGACCTGGAACTTCGACTCGTCTCTGTCTTCTACATAGACGGTGTTCAAACTTCCCACCACGGATTTATCGAAAAACACTGATTAAAAGAAAAAACGCCGAGACAAGTTTAAAGTTTTGTTAAGGGGGACAACTTTTTAACCAAAAACTACTTCACCCTCTTTTACCCTCTGCCCCCCCCCCCTCCCAGGGTCATCCTCTTAGAAATGTTAAATAACAAGGAGTACCGAGTAACAGCTTGTTTGAAAGGTATTTCGAAGTCCTTTATTTTGACATTTGATTTTTCAAAATCGGTCGATTCGTTTTCAAGAAAATTAGAAAAATCTGTATTAATCTTAATTTATTCAGAAACAAAAATGCACGAAAATGTCACTTTATTTCAATAAATGTTTAAAATGTTACCCGCTATTGACCGACATTTTCAAAAACATGTTGTGGGATATCATGGCAGCTTTCGATGATGCGTTGAGGAAGTTTATCCAAACTTTAAGGTTGGAGAGTAAACACAATAGATTTCAAATGGCCCCAAAGAAATATTCGAATGGCGTCAAATCAGGTCATTCTATAGGCCCTCTTTGCCCTATCCATTTATGTGAAAATTCGTCGTCTAGCCATTGCCGAACCGGAAGAACGTAGTGAGGATGAGCGGCGTCTTGCTGGAAATATATTTCAGCGTTTCCATCCTCTTCAATTTGGTTTTCAATGGTTTCAGTGATAAGCGGACTGAAGGTATTTTAAAACATATCCAAATAAATGTCTACATTGAAATTTTCATTAATAAACAATGGCTAAATCTCTTTATTTCCTAGAATGCCTGCCGATACATTATCTTTTTGGGAATACTGGGTATGCCCTTCTACAAAAGCATGAGTGTTCTCATTGCTCCAATAACTGCAGTTATTCTTATTAGCAAATCCATTTAGATAAAATATGCGTTCACCCCTGAGTGGTATTATCATTAATCGCTGTAGTCATTTGTTCACAAAGCTCAACTCACCTAACGAAATCATCTTCGGTTAACTATAGTTTAATAACTGTGTGTACAGAACCTAATGAAATACCAGTCGCAGTAACAATTTTGCGTCATGAAGTATTAGGATTTATTCCTTCAACTTGAGCGGCTTCATCCAAAACTCTCCGATTATCACGTTTGCAACACATCCAGTTTGAGTAAATTTAGTAACAAGATCCGAAACATACCTGTGCGTATTATCTTCTCCGGATGTCTGGCGTTAAACGTGCAGTTGCCGAGCACATTGCTTTTGGTGCCATAAATTAGAATCATTTCTACTCTTTCGGTCAGTGTGTAAACCATTTTGGAAGTTAAATCTGAATCAAATTAATTTTTACTATCCCAAGATTGTCACACAGGTAACTGACAGCAAATAAAATTATTTCTTTCCCTTAGCAACAAATAACTAAACAGGTATAACAATAAATACGGTTCGCCCAGGATATCTGTGTTTATGAAAATAATGCGGAAAAAATTCGGGTTGTTATTTAGTTGTTGCCACGTCTAATCTTCCGAATTGCTGTTTATGTTGGTAGTTTCCGTTTTAAATTACAAACGAATTGTAGATTTGGCAAACCCTAACGGGCAACACTTTGAACACTTATTGAAATAGAAAGTGATATTTTCGTGCGTTTTTGTTTTCTACCTAAAGATTTTTCTAATTTTCTCAAAAACGAATTGATTTAAAAAAATCGAAAGTCAAAATAAAGGACTTTGAAAGATCTTTCAAACGAGCCTTTACTCGATACCCCTTGTCATTTAAAATTTTTAAGGGGATGATTCCGGGGGGCAGAGGGTGAACGGGAATGAAGTATTGTTTGGTTAAAAAGCTGTTCCCCTTGACAAATCTTTTGACGTATCACGGCGTTTTTTCTTTTAATCAGTGGTTTTCGATAAATCCGTGGTGAGAAGTTTTCAAATAGAGATCTGGAGTGACAATCATATCACATTAAATCTATTGATGCTGGGTCCAACATTTTGGATCTCCAAGACATGATACCCAAGGCCTTAATCTAACTAACACTAAGAAGACACTGTATTAAGGACCTCAATTTCAAATAAAATTTTCTAATACCAAAGTTCCACTTTTGCAAGTTTTTTATAAACTTTGTTATGTTAGGTACCTGATGCTATCGTCGATCATTATGAGCGGCATTCCATATTCCCCGGTTTCAACACTTCAACCTCCAAACATTAGCAACACAATACCCAAATTGTAAAACGAATTGTAATTGCAGGAAAATAGATTCAATTATCTCTATTACAAAACATTCACCAAAAATTTACGCACAATGACCATGCGACAACGCCCAAAAACGCCCAATCCCAATGCAGCATGTATGTGGAAACAGTTCGAAATTTGATGAATGTTAGGTGTATAATGACATGAAAATGAAACCAGCAGGAAGTCAAATTTATCATTTATTATATTTCTGTTATAGACATGTCAAAACAAATAATAAGGTATCATAAATATTATTTTCGATTAAGGCTTCTGTAAAATGAGCGTCCTTGCTAGTATTAGATTTTGGTACTGGTACTACAAAAAATAAAAAACAATTCTGGTGGTTTTTAAGTACTTTCTGTCAGTTTTACTATAGCTTCCATGAATAAATAGCATTATAACTATCTATTGCTTAGATCTAAATCAAATCGATATCTGAAATGTTGCAGGCCGAAACTGTTTTCATGCCAGTTTCTTTGATTTTTGTTTATTCTAAATTAAAAAATTAAACTTGCTGAATGATTTTAATTGATGTAATACAAGCATACGGAGCAGTGTTAAAATTATAAAATACGATTAAAATACATACATCACGACAAAAAGTTCTAGTTTGAATATGCTTTTTGCAATGCGGTTTCAACGTTATCCTGCAGTTTCAGTTTTAGGTCTTTTTGCATTAACTCTGGTCAATGATCTTCATTAAGTATATGCTATAAAGAAAATGCATTAAAAAATCGATGTAGGAAATGTATTTCAAAAGAATGTAAACTAAATCATAGCATCAACAAATATCTAAGCACATTGAAATAATGGAGATATGGTCAACCAAAGTGTTCGACATTCTTAACTTAATCAAAACTTCTTTCTCAGAATACACTTTATCGTCACCTCTTTTCTCATAATACGTTTTCAAATTTTCTGATCTATTCCTATGAAGTATTGTTGACCAATGTTCTTTGTATGGAATTACCATAAGGCTGTATCGTCCATAGAATGACACAATGAGCATGGCTTTCATCTATTCGTTCTGCATACGTTTTGCATACAAGAATTTATATCTTTTCTTTCAGAAGCGCGCTTGCATAAACACAAAAGTCAAGGCTCCTTGAACAGATGCATTAATATTCAATAACTCATTACCATCTTTCCTTTTCATTCTTTCACAGAGAAAAAACATATTTACATTTATACGGTACACAATCCTTTCCCGGTTTTTCCGGGAGTTGAGACCAACTAAAATCAAAATATATCATCATTGAAGTCGAAAATGGAGACTGATCATATATTCTTGGTTCATAAAAACTGAATGAATGCTTGGCTGATGATATTATGAAACAAACGTCAAATTGAAATTGTTATTACGAGTATTCCACCTTATAGAGGGAAAAAAGTGGCAATGTTATGGTAGTTCTTATTTTGAAATACCATCTCAAATAAAGTCAGGAAAAAATAAAAACGATTTTGGGAAAATTCAGTTGCTTTCGCCTATCTCCGGAATTACTCGGAATTGCGAAACACTTCCAAGCAGTAATGTATACGAACATCTTCCTATCTGTCAATCCTGAGACACACTCCCCAAAACCTTTTTCTACATACGCCAGTGTATCAGATAGCTCTAGAAACTACGTGACCTTGTTTGGAACGCATTGTAACAATTTGCAACTTCATGTTCAGAGATATTTGATTTTGAAGAGGTGAATTCACCACAAGTAATACGGATTAAAAGAGCTAGAGTAGTTTCTGCACTAATTTAGGAGTCCTAATAATTCTGCATGCTGGCAGAACCCAACAAGTTAATACTTCAAAGAATAAGTTGGCGATGTAATCAGTACTTTGCTTACACTACTTTTACCAGACTATTAAACTTGAAGTCCGACACTACTTTTAACGTGGACAGTTTCTGCATCATCTGTTGTACTGTTAGTTGAAACTTCCATTGGATGTAATAGAAATCAGTCAATATTATTGTTTTGATGTACAAAGAGGATTGAACGGCTGGTTATTACGCAAAAAACCGATATACTCGTATCGTCAAAAAAACCGATAAAATGTCAACTTATTAACTAGGCTAGTGTTTGAATAGTTCATTCCGCACTTGCAACAAGTAAGCATGAAGTGAACGACACCTAGTTCCAAGTTGACGTCTTTTAGGAAAACTTACATAAATCAAATCCAAGCGAATAACCAAAATTTCTGTGTTATGTACCGCGGTTATAATATTATTTAAGATAACACACTTCTTTTGAATTTGTTCTTGAAGTATCCTTGGAACGACCTTTAGATACGCTTATAGTGATTAATTGGCCTCCCATTCGGACTTAGTAATCAGAAAAACCTAAATCACATGCGGCTGGGATCAAATGTTCGGCTTGTTTTGAAAATGTCCTTGATATAACCTTGAAGTGACCTCCAAATGCGCTCGAAAATACCAACTAACCAGATTTGAAATCAGTAGCCCAAAAAACCCTATTGTACTAAACATACTATCAATGTCGTAGAAGTTATGTTTTTTGACAGTTTTTCGGAGTTATAATACTAATAGACCAGGATATCTAGAAATAAAAAAAAGTGAAAATCATATCTGAAATAATAACTAAAGGCTGAAGCTAAACTTTTTATAGTGGATAATGTAAAAAATGTTCTTAAAAAATCTCAATAGGTTCCGCAAAATTGTCACTAATTTTTTGGAGAAAAATTGTATTCTTTGACGGAGGTGCCCAGCAATGTTAGATAAATCAAATGGGCTCCTATGGGCAATAATAGACTGATCGTTGCAGTAAATTGAACTTGTGGACCACTGTCTCCAGTACCTCAAGTTTGTTAATATACGCGAAAAACTGTTTATTCCAACTATGTCAATAAAAAAGTTAGCCTGCAAAAATTTTTTTATCTCTCGATGCAGGACCTTTACTAGAACCATCATGAATATATTCTCATTGTAAAACCTGTTACAATTTTTCCTAGAACAGGGTCTATTTTCGGCTTGTTATCCTGATCTATAATTTATAAGACCTGATTCACTTTTTTAACTAGTTTTGCCCCCAAGGATATGGGCTGCCGACGCCCTTGTGTGACTTTCAAGTAACGAGCAGAATTCAGTGGTAACACTGCATGAGGTGAATACTTGATCGAGCTGGACGCATAATGCCAATTTTCGGGAAAGCCAATCAGCCATTCCACACAAAGTACATATTTACTGTCTCCTCGTTACGTGAGCTCTTATTGATTCGCTGGACCATCGACAATGGATACGCATATACAGGTCGCCCTAGTTTGTAATACGAGAAAATTAGTAGAATTTATAAAGTGCTTTTAATCCGGTACTTGCTTTCATTAGCTCTGCATTCTCTAACTATCCTTTTTCAAGTTCAAAAAGGATAGTGAGAAAACTAATGAAAAAAATGGAGTCCTTCTAGAATAGCTCAAGCTACTGATGCCTGCCAAAACAGCAATACTTTTTACACCGATATTCGTCCAACTCTACGCCCAATAAGAACAATACGGGATTTTCTTGACCGGCCAACAATAAATAACCATACCTCAGCAATAGAACGATAAAGATACCAAAGCTTACATAAATTCACTCAGATACTTGATGCATATACAAAGTTCATTTGTCCTTAATTACGTGGGAAGTCCAGAGTCAACCTACTTGATGGAATTTTTTTCTTCGATAGAAACAAGCCTGCGAGGTACGTCAAATGTCAAGAAATGGTGAATGTGCTGTCGACTCGGAACTTTTAGAAGACGCATCCGCCAGGCGCTACAAAATACATGAATGATTACATAACCGGCCTATAAGGCTACATACAGGGTTTGTCCGGAAAGTAATAGGACTCATTTTCTTCCGCCATGACTGTACTTCGGCGTGCGCGTACCGACTGGATTCTGTAGAGGGCGTTCCTAGCTAACGAAAGAGCGGCTGGTCAGTTGTCTCCGAGCACTTGGAGAGTCAGGACAGGCATTTTCGCGCGACGTGTTTCTGTGAGTGGTGCAAGCCGAAAATGCAGCGTTCGTTAGAGCAGAGGTACGCAATTAAATTCTGTGTGAAACTCGGTAAATCTGCGACAAAGACGTTTGATATGATCAAGCAGGCTTACCCAGGTGTTGCTTTAGCAAGAAATGGTCTGTTTCGGTGGCACCAGGCCTTTTTGGAGGGCCGGGAAGAGGTCGCTGATGAAGACCGTGCTGGAAGACCTTCGACTTCGACAAACACCGATAATGTGACTCGTGTGCGCAAAGTTTTGAACTCAGACCGTCGACTAAGTATTCGTTTAATTGCCCAGATGTTAAATTTACCAAAATCTGTGGTTCATGATATTGTGACACAGCATTTGAACATGCGCAAGGTGTGCGCGAAGATGGTCCCAAAAGTGCTCACTGACGACCACCAATTGCGGCGAGTGGAAGTGTGCCAAGAAAATTTGAACATGTGTGAAAGTGACCCCCAATTTTTGAATAACGTAATCACAGATGACGAGTCGTGGATCTTTGAGTATGATCCCGAGACAAAGAGGCAATCTTCCGAGTGGCACACGATGGCGTCTCCTCGCCCAAAAAAGAGAAGAATGAGCAAATCCAAAGTTAAAACGATGCTCGTTGTCTTTTTTGATATCAACATGAATTTGTTCCTCCTGGACAAACCGTCAGCGCCAAGTTTTACGTGGAAGTGCTCAGGAGACTCAAACGAAGGGTCAGTCAGGTATGATAAGGCATCGCAGCCGACTGGAAGTTGCAGCACGACAACGCTCCGGCTCACACCGCCTTTCTTGTGAACAGCTACCTGACCAAGGCCGGCAACCCAACGCTTCCGCAGCCGCCCTACAGCCTAGATGTGGCCCCCCCGGACTTTTTTTTGTTTCCTCGCCTGAAAAGGCCGATGAAAGGCAAGCATCTTGAGACGACAGAGGGGATCCAAGCAGCATGCACCGCGGCTCTCAAGGCTATTCCGGAGAATGCCTTCCGTGACGCCTACAATGCTTGGAAATCACGCTGGCAGCGCTGCATCGACACAGAAGGAGCCTATTTTGAAAGTTTTTAAAGAATTGTAACGATTGGCTCAATATTTTTTTTAAATCGGCTCAGTCCTATTACTTTTCGGACAAACCATGTACACCTAAATATGAAAATTCAAGTTTCTGTAAAAATGACAGACATGTCCTGCGCAAAATTGTGAGCTTTTATCAGGTTACAAATGTGGTCTCCCTGTATAGCGCTGGTGTCTAGTTATGTGCCATAGTTCATAAAAAATGGAATTGGCAACAAGAGTGGCGTCGCAATGCCAATTTCAGGATTATGGAGTGTGGCTTTATTCAATGCGAACCAACGACGTGAACAGAACGTTATCATAATATATTGACGTTTTCAATCAACCTAACCCTTCATCGTCAAGCAACAATGATCGATGGATATCGCAAATACCATTTTGGCATGATAGTACCGGAACTTCCTAAAATGTTATCAATGAATGAAAGGGAACTGACAACCTGATGTCAGAACCTTTGTCTACTGTTATTTCACTGTCCGACGGTTTTCACAAACTTCCTGCATCGTGCCTATGCCGCAGAATGTATGCATTACCTTTCGTTTCGCATAACAGATCACTGACCACCCGCAATAGAGGTTCGATACACACAATTTCAGATACGCTCACCTCACTCCAGTTTACTTAGTTGATTGCAAGTTCTCTTTGACAAAACTCAATTGAAATGGGATGAGATTTCCTTCTCCTTCCTTACCCCAAGCGCATTACCAGCAAAGCAGCCTCAACATGGCCGTTTGCACCGGCTTTCTTAAATATACCACTTAGCAAAGTGAAGCTTATCTTTAAGGTACACTTTAGATTGAATTTGTGTTGCACCCTCGTATCTTGAACGGTGCTTACCTAAGCGTAGTATTGATTTGGCAACCATTTTTGAGGATTTCTAGTTTTGAACTATAAGGACTGCGCATCATGAGAACCCCACTTTTATGCTGTCATATCATCATGTCAGAAATCCAGATTTGCATATTTCATCATGAGTTCTGCTACAAAAAGCCCCCAATTTTTCCTACAAGAAAAATCTGTATTAATAGAAAACCAATAGTTGATTAATTGGTCTACTGCATTGTTCCTTATTAACATCAGTTTGTAACTTCTGTACCGTGATACTAGCCAGTTATAGGGATTCTATCTGATGTAACATCATTACAGCAGTTTTTATTGGTCTTAAATCGTTGGAAGGATGTTCTGTCATCAACACTATGAAAATAGTTCATTCTTTGATACATTCTGCTCAGAATTCCATATACTATAATGAGGTTAAATTCATCTAATTCTTCAAAAAGTTTCATGATATTTCCTTATAAATTGCTTCACAACCTTCAAAACTTTTCGGAAAATCAAAACAAAAGAGTATTTCGCTGTATTTTCAGAATATGTGCAATAAATCAATAAATCTCCGATTTATCTTTTTGACATTTGAGCGTCACTTGAAGTTACAAATAATAGCGGTGCAATAGGAAATTGCGGGATAAGGTACAACTTAGATTAAGATTTACTTAAGCAAGGCGTTGCAAACATCATCGAGACTTGTCCTCTTGTGCAGCTTTTGAGTTACCTAAGTTTATTTTGTTTATGAGTATGAGCAAAATCTCTCGAATTCAGGTATACTTGAGTTTGCTTTGCTTAAAATTATATCCCCCGGCGATCCATGTCAGCAATCTGAAAAAATCTTCAGCCTTGGTTGATAAAATAAAAATGTCATTTTCTAGGTTACTTCTTGATCAAACTTAGCTCAGCTGTTTTTTTTAAAGGTAAAGTTAGCCTCACACTGACTGATTTGACAGCCTCATCTCACTATATGTCTTTTCACAGTTTTTGGTGGGTCACAGTCACATTAATTACTATCATACATGATAGCAGATATAGCCCAGTAAATGAACGGTTTTGACCTAACACAAATTCTTTAATGGTTGAAAATTTGGAGGTTATTGAAATATTGCTCTTTAGCATTACCAAAAGTTCGGAATCCTACCGTAGGCAAGCACTGAGAAATGTTTGAGGCTCGATAAATAAGTATCAAAAATTGTCGTTACCATATTCCCATATTTAGGTTCGTGCACCAGATACGCCAATATTCTTGGAGCTCTTATTAGGCCTTCTTAAAATTGCTTTAAAAAATATACCTAGTGGAAACATATATTTCAAAATCAGCAAAAACATATTTGAGGTAAAGTGCTATTTTAAGCGATAAATCTTTTCAAAATCATCATAGGTTTGGCTATGGTTTTTCGTATTTTTCTTTCCACACGGGATCCATATAAATCGCTTTCGCTGATATCAAGTTTTGTTCAAGGAGCTTTTCTACACGATTTTATGCCATAATCATCGGTAGATCTAAGTTTAGGGCGCATTTGCTGCTAGTTTCAATGTGTATTTTGCAAGCCAGCTTGATTGTGCTCTATATGTATAGACAGCTTCAGATAGTATCGGTTTTCTAGTTTAAGGAAATACAAACTTATATATAGAACTGTCGAATCCGAGACCACAAATCATCCAATACATATTACATCCTCCAAACATACTGTTCAGCCTGTTTACCATTTTTCCCCTCATTTTACCCACATAAAAAACAATCCCCTTCATCCATTTATCATACTGCCAGACTCATAAGCATATACGGGGGTGTTACCGGAGTAGTTCAAATAGTAAGCTCCCACAGGCCATAACACTGAGAAACTCAACAATTCTGGGCGGTATTTGAACCTCAATTAAATGTTTGATTCACTTTATTCTCGTAACATCACTTTACGATTGGGATTAAACCATATGTCATCTACCAATTTTCAATCCCTCTGCTCACTTTGAAGACGCCCCCGTATTATGTCAGCAAAAAAAGTAGCAGTTTGCACTGGTTATGACTTGGTTCGATTGAAATGGACGTGTTTGCTTTTCGTCTCTGTAACCACAGCCAACCGTTTATGTCTCCAGGACTACTAGACCTATACCGCATTGATGACTTGCTGATGAGCACGAAACAGCGCTGTCTGTGATTGGTCGTGGTTACAAAGACGGAAAGTAAACATGTTTATTTCAAACGAATATTATACTTTAATTTGTAATTACAAAACCCAGGTACGACTACTACCCTCTGATGCTCTATCCCTATCTATCATAGTTTTCTACTCTTCCGTGTCAGCGCTCTGTTTTGAGGTTATATTACAAATATCATGTATTTGCATCAAATTGTTCATGCTTTTGATTTATATCAACCTGAAATGTCGTACAAAAATAAAACCTAGCCAAGCTGACGCTGACACGGACCTGTAGAAATCTAGAAATACCCCAGCCTTTCTGAACGAGAGAGAAGGCTATCAAAATCAAGGAGACCATAAAGGCACTACTATCAATATTTAATGAAGATCTGGCGTTTCTCCCTTCTTTTTTTATGATGTTTCTGAGCCTACTAGATGGAGAGTCAAGCTGCTTCTCACACTAGAACCTTGTTAATCTCCGTTTATCAAAATTTAGCCGTTATGGCTAAGGTCTCATTCTTAAGTTACTGAAAATGGCAAATACAGTCTTAGTAGTGAGAAGCTTAGTATTTTGGCAAGGGGGTGGCAAACACGATTTTGCTGTATCTATGCCAACCAAGGCTTTGAGAAAAAGAAATATGTGCAGCTCGTGCCTAGAATCCAGCAGGCATTGCTAGTGAGATAGTTACTGTCCCGCTAATGGTAATTGTGTCTGAGGAGAAAATCGAGCTGTATAAAAAGGTCGTCGAAGCCAGAGGCAGCGAAAGAAAGGCACTTTCTATTAGATGACAGGAGATGGACTAGAACCCTGATTCCAGATACTAAAACCTGGATTGATAAGGAAGCGCTGCGAATAGATTACTGTAATGCGCAGTTTCTCACAGGACATGTTTGTTTTGCAAACTACCTGAAGAGGGTACCAAACAAACAGTATGCGATCTGCGTATACTCATTACAACGAATGTAGTAGATGGGTTGATTACCAGACACAGCTAGAATTGATGCCCCTGTAAAAGGCTCACAGCTGCTAATTTTACCAGGCATGTAATCTAACACTGTGGATCGGGAAGGTCGTCTGGGCAATACTGTGGAGCTTTTCTGCCTGAGAGTGGCTAGAAAAGCATCTCGTCGTTCAACAAAAGTTTTTTTGGAGCGGTCCTACAGTTACAAAAAAGTATTAGTAGTTCTCCTTCATAGACATCGCTCTATGCGTTATTTAGACTTGTTGTTAAGTAAATATATAAAAAGATCATTTCAGTCCTTTTTCTCCCAGTGCAAACCACTTACTGTCAAGTACTAAAATGGAAGACAATCGCACAACTCATCGTAACCCTCCATAACGGTGTCTTTGTATCCGTAGATCTCAGCGCTACTTCCTTCCATTTTGGTACTTGACTATAACTGAATGTTTCATCAACCACACTGCTGTCACTCTCATCGACACCCGCCAATCGCTAATATCGATCTCATCCACACAGAGCACGCTACTCGCAGATGAACGACGAGGCAATCATTGTAAACACGATAGGTTGCACACTGGTGGCGCTGGCGATCGTTGTAGGATACATCCTGCAAAGGGACGAGTTCCGGTACAGGGCGCATATCCTCATTCGTACCGGAGATATTTAAGATATATATTATATGATATTTATATTCTCGATTATATGAACAGTCAACAGTGAAACACGAACAAGTACCATAATGGAAGAGAGTAGCATAACTTGTACGCCACTGCTAACGCGGTCTGACTGTGTACGTGGGTGCCCGTCACGCCGTACCTCGAGACACCACGTTAGCAATGACGTACCGATGTATTACAGCTACTGAAACGGAAGAGGGTAGAGTAACACATCGTACACCACTGCTAACGCTATGGCGGAATCACTGACTTTGCGGATACAGAGGCACGCGACGGTAGCAGTGACGTACGATGTGTTCTGCTACTTTCTTCCATTTTGGTACCCGCGTATAATCTCTTCCGTCTTGGTCGTATGTGCGGGTTGGCTATCGGATACGTAGGGTTATTACGTAACGACTTATATAAATAGTGTATCAGAAAACACCTACAACAAAAAAACAATTTTTAAGCGCTTGACAGCTATCATGGTGTTATAAAATAAACCTGCGGAATAGTTGAGGTTCAGTTTTCACTAGAAGCCTGCTTCGTAATGTAGTTTGAGTAGGCAACATCTTATTTTTGGAAGTAATTTGCTGTAATATATATATGTATAAATGCTTAAAATTGTATAGGGTGACCTCAAACCTCAAGATTAAATAGTCTAATTTTGATTCTTGACAAAAGTCCGTTTCAATTAATAAAATTCCGTAAATCATTAGTCAAACACCAGAATTTATCTATATATATATATACACCATATATATATATATATATATATATATATATACAGGGTGGCCAAACACGTGACGTCATAAAAAAAAAATTAGATTCCCCACATCGAGAGGAACCCAAATCACCCCCATATATATGGTCCGATTTTGTTTAGTTTAGGAGTTATGATTTTTTTTCGGATTTTTCGAGAATTTTTGAGTTCTGTGTTTATTTTTACCATAACTTCGTTAATAATTGTGATAAATGCCTGCTTTTTTCACGATTATGTAGCTAAGACCTAAGGCTTAACTATCATATAATCATTCAAGTCATGTAACTAATACTACTTTTTAATTTTTTTCAAAATCTTCGAACATAACAAAAAAGTAAAAAAGTGCAACAACTTTGAACGTTTATAAAAAATTGAAAAAACATGTTCTTACTATTCGTAAGTATCTCAAAAACTTCCTTACGGTATCAGCTATTTACCGTAAAAATTTCATCAACCTAGCTTTACTACATGCTACCGTAATTGTGGCTCAAATAGAACCGAACCCAAAATTGGATAACCCTCTGCTCAATAGAAATTGTTAGTTTCGGAAAAAAAATTTGCAAAAACCACAAAAACACGTTTGATTTTTACTGAACAGCAGATTATTATTCATTTATGTTATTTACAAGAGGTTTTCAAAATGTCTGCCTCTAACAGAAATGCACAGTGTACACCTACGTATGAAATTTTGTTTTAAATCTCTAAATGCTTGTGTGTTGTTTTTCAACACATGTGTCGCTTCTTGAATTTTGTTCCTCAATGAATTTTCATTTGCACATTCTTGGGCGAATGTTATGTCTTTAAAATATCCCCAAACAAAAAAATCAATGGGGTTGAGGTCAGGGGAGCGTGGAGGCCATCGTATCGGTCCGTTTCGTCCGATCCATCTGTCTGGGAACCTTTCGTTTAAGTAGTAGAGGACACGTCATCACCACCGACCAGCCACGTCATCTACGGCACAGGACACGTCAGCCGTTCTGGTATAAATAACCCCGAAAGGCTAAGTCACCTGCAGACGAAATAAGAGGCTATATCAGCCGAAACCTCGTGCTCTAAAAAATTGGATATTCCGGGACTCTGCTTTGCATACTGATTTGGACTTTGTTTGCTAAGAAGTTTGTGATGCATTATACGTTGCGTGAATATGCAGAAATGCATTATTATTATGGCGTTGCTCAAGGCAACGGCGCTTTAGCAGCTCAGCTGTACCGGGAACAACTATACGCCGAGGCGGACCACAACCTGAGCATTACCCAGACCACCGTGTTTTTATTAACACACATAACACTTTCATGGCAGGCCGCATTCCAGGACGAGGAAGCAATGAAGGATATCCTACAGCTGATCCGGATCGCAGAGAAGTAGTACTTGAAGAAATTAGCCGGAATCCCTCAATGAGTACGAGATCTATGGCACAAAACCTTAGAATACCACGAACATCGATACAAAATATTCTTCATGAAGAAGGTTATCATGCCTATCATGTTCAAAGAGTTCAAGCGTTGATGCCTTCAGATTACCAGTTAAGAGTGGATTTCTGCGAGACAATGCTGCGAAGACAACGAGAGGATCCCGATTTTTTTGATAAAATTTTATGGACTGACGAGTCACGTTTTGAAAGAACAGGGATATTCAATATCCATAATTTACATACTTGGGCTGTTGAAAACCCCCACCAGTCAAGGCCGTCGACATTTCAACACCGTTTTAGTGTGAACATGTGGTCAGGAATATTCAATATGGAATTTATCGGTCCATTTGAACTGCCGTCAAGGTTGGATTCGGTAGCCTACAAAAGCTTCCTTGAAAATAGCCTACCATTATTGCTGGAAGATTCAAGCCTGGAAGCCAGACGGAACATGGTGTTCCAGAATGATGGTGCACCATGCCACAACGCAACGATCGTGCGAAACTACTTAAACGAAAGGTTCCCAGACAGATGGATCGGACGAAACGGACCGATACGATGGCCTCCACGCTCCCCTGACCTCAACCCCATTGATTTTTTTGTTTGGGGATATTTTAAAGACATAACATTCGCCCAAGAATGTGCAAATGAAAATTCATTGAGGAACAAAATTCAAGAAGCGACACATGTGTTGAAAAACAACACACAAGCATTTAGAGATTTAAAACAAAATTTCATACGTAGGTGTACACTGTGCATTTCTGTTAGAGGCAGACATTTTGAAAACCTCTTGTAAATAACATAAATGAATAATAATCTGCTGTTCAGTAAAAATCAAACGTGTTTTTGTGGTTTTTGCAAATTTTTTTTCCGAAACTAACAATTTCTATTGAGCAGAGGGTTATCCAATTTTGGGTTCGGTTCTATTTGAGCCACAATTACGGTAGCATGTAGTAAAGCTAGGTTGATGAAATTTTTACGGTAAATAGCTGATACCGTAAGGAAGTTTTTAAGATACTTACGAATAGTAAGAACATGTTTTTTCAATTTTTTATAAACGTTCAAAGTTGTTGCACTTTTTTACTTTTTTGTTATGTTCGAAGATTTTGAAAAAAATTAAAAAGTAGTATTAGTTACATGACTTGAATGATTATATGATAGTTAAGCCTTAGGTCTTAGCTACATAATCGTGAAAAAAGCAGGCATTTATCACAATTATTAACGAAGTTATGGTAAAAATAAGCACAGAACTCAAAAATTCTCGAAAAATCCGAAAAAAAAATCATAACTCCTAAACTAAACAAAATCGGACCATATATATGGGGGTGATTTGGGTTCCTCTCGATGTGGGGAATCTAATTTTTTTTTTATGACGTCACGTGTTTGGCCACCCTGTATATATAATATATAGGTATGTATAAAACACTTCTGATTAAGACGTCACATGGGTAACCAAAGCATTTTTTTATTTAAATAAAACCAGAAGTTTAAAAAATACAGCCACTTTGATATGGACCTTATTCATTTTATTAACTGTAACACTTCATTTGCAAAAACGACTTTACACGTTAATTTTGATTTTCCCAATATTTTTATCAGTAGTAACTGTCAACAGATGCTCAGACTTCCAGAGGAATGTGAACTCGTAACAAAAAAAAACGTATTGTGTTGAAACGATTCGACCAATTCAATGTTGTATGATACTGATATTATTGCATTGGCTTAGGTTAGCTAGAGTTATATATACCCTATTTCACGAGTATCCATCACGGTAGAATTGACAGCTTGTTATATAGTAATATTTCAAAATTCCCCATATCAGCAAAGGACACATAATTCTGACGGATCCGTCAGTGCCAGGTAGACAGAGCCATATTTTGTTTTGGTTTTTTGTATGCTACACATTCATTTAGAAAAGTTCATTTGCATACAAAAAACAACGCTACAAACAAATTTTTGCTAGATTTACACCCGAATCACGATAGCCAACGTTGCAGACTAATACAAAACTGTCACTTGCTTATCAGCTGTTCACCAAAGCAGACGTCAAAGCGTGATGGAACTCGTGAAATAGGGTATCTAGGGTATCTTAGATGAATGTAAAGATATACATTATAAAAATGAAAACCATATATATATATATAACAACATCGCCTTTGATTAATCAAAATACGTAATATTTGATCTCTATTTTATGAACGTTACTTTAACTATATGGAATAGCTTGACTCGTTTCGTCACAATTTAAACGCATTTTTGGCTTATACGTAGTTGTAGGCCTCACACTCTGCCAATCTTTGAGATGTATAAAATTAATCACCTACCTGTGTGTGTTTGTTCTAGAATAGAGATTATATATGTGTTTGGAAAAATAAAGCAAGCTTTGAAATAATGTTATTTTATGATGTGTGGATGGAATCATGGATGGAATCACTAATTAACGTATTCCAGGCAAACGGTATGATGGAATCAAAACATTTTGTGAATTAACACCACTTACATTATGAACAAATATTAGATAAGCAATGTGTATTTTTTAGTAGAAAGTTCCATGCTTAGGAAAATCTTGCTTACTTAATTGGGTATATATTTACTATAAAAGGTCCAATCACTATAATGAATATATTGCTGTGCCGCATTTCGCAATATTGAAAATCAAAAGCTTGCCAATTTTGGCCGGTCAAACAAGGTGAAAAGTTGATTTAAAATAAACCAATCTTAATCATGTAAAGTTCTGCTAAACGAATTGTTTTGCTTTTAGCTATTTAATATATTTCATAGTTCGGATACTGAGTTCATAAAATCAATTCAAAGTCACATGTACCGAGAGCACGACATGATGATTTCTCCTTTAAATATAAAGAAAAACCCTTTTTAATAACCTGAACGACTTTCTTTTTCAGTCATTCAAAAATATTGCATGAATGATATACTACTCATGTAAGGCATGTGAATGAACCATTACTCTTTTTGCTGGAACAGCTTTAAGCTTTATTATAGTTTTAAGTGCACTTTTGATTTCATTTCCACGTTCTTACATACTACGAGATCAGTAAAAAACTAATTAGCCATTTTTGCTAGAATCAGTTCTGGTTTCAGCTGTAGTAAATTTTTATATTTAGCATAAGACCTGAGACGTCAAAACTACCGAACCCAGACACAGTAATAAAAAGAACCTTACGATCTACTTGTGATTTTTGTGCGATTGTTTTCTTTTTCCAAGAATATTTTTGTGTTTAGAGACTTCTAGTGTTTTGTAATGTGTTATAGATAGTAGTTTTATATATATTTTTAAAATAAGTGTGAATGTACCGTGTACGTTCATAGTACCTAGATATTACAAGATGTATGTGAATGTATGTATATTTTAGAAGTATATATTGATGAAAACTTTGCACGTAGTATTTTTATTGGCTTATTTACTTTGACTGCTGCTTTTTAAATAGCTAGAATTCAAAACGTGGTTCCTTTGTTGTATTTAAAAGTAATTTACGGCTACAAGTACCGAAATAAGAAGAGTATCCCTTAAATATAGCAGAAACTTTATAAAAATGACCGTTGATAACATAATTTTTGTAACAATTTCGGATACCTAATAATGACATTTTATAAACTGCAATCTCAAAAAAGTAACAAACTTTGAAGGTACTTGTACCCAGGAGGGTGTATAAAATGCAACAAGGAACTATTGATTAAAAGTAATCATTATTTATTGCAATATACTGCATTGAAAACAGTAAGCACCATGCTTGATGAGGTTTGCATGTAATAAATGCGCCAGTACAGACTAAATAACGCCTTTCACTAATAATTTTAAAACGTTTCTTTGCTATTGTACCTTGTAACTACTACTAATATCGTGTGTCTACTCGTCCTAAATACTATGTTACGTGTCATGGCAACTTGACAAGTAAGTATAGCAAAATGCAGAACATCATATGTCAAACTTTCGCTAACAAGTACAAATGCTGGGTTGAATTGTGGTTATAGAATTCTGGACTAACTCGTTCTTAACAACAACACAAAAGAAAATCGGGCTGTAAAACATCAGGATACTAATAAAATAAGAAAAGGTAAAAAACATGTACTAAAAGACGCACTGCCTTCAGAGTGGCGTTCAATGCTTTCGTTCTTCTCCTTCGTTTTTTTTTTTGTTTTTTTTTTTGTACTACATCACACGAATAGCTATTTCGCTCTTTCTCTAAGATGTACCAACAGCATCTTAAAGCATTATTTCTACAATTTTGCGTAATATTTTTTTATACAAGACCGAACTAGGAAGGCTTCCACTGTATGCCCTATAATCCAATAAAATGCATGCAGAATTTCAACTAATCTCATATGCATTATAAACTAAAGTCTTACCTTCAATAACTGAGCAAAATAGTATCATACCCCATTTGTAACCACCAAATTGCAGAGACACGTACACCGAATGGAAGGACGAAGGGATTATAGTGAATTCATTGGGCATGACCTTCGTAGCATTAGCCATCTTGATAATCTACGCTGTCCGCAGCCCATCACTATCCGGAGATAGCGCCAAGGTACTGGCCAACGAACGTTTGTAGGTAAGGACGACATTATTTTACTTCCCACGCCACGGGCGACTAAGTGTTGTAGTCGAAAATGACAGTAGCTTTCCTTTTGGCCATTCTTTCAAATCATCTTATCTCGCTTCAAGTTAGGTGAGATTCTTAACTTTCCCCTCGTCCCTGGATCGTGTGCTTCCCGGCACATGCTTTAGTGAGCTTTTTCACTGACTTGATTGGAAAGGATTATTTTTTGGTTACGTTTAGGTATATATTTTTTGGTTCAAGATTCTACAAGCACTAGTTGAAGTTTTTTATAATTGCAACGATAATAAAAAAAAATCATATACCATTGAAACCTGACTTCTAAATTGTGTTCTTGTAAGATGGACTTCTCACCTGAACGTTCCTTTTGACATCCGAGAAGAATAACTTTCCTCCCGAATGGTGAGTCAGTCGGATGCAAAAGGAAAGCTGCTGCTATGCGTCGGTCTTCTAATCCTTGAACCGCCTATGACTTGTACAGTACTGCTCGAATTTGGAGGTTACTACTACGCAAAAAAGCTTTGTAGTTTTTTAAAATATGTCCAGTGGCGGCAGCAGAAAGATGAAAAATAAAAATCGCTCAAACTACGTTTTTGACGTTTCAGAGACTCCAGATCATTTTCAGAATTTTTTTTATGGGTTAAAAATTGAGGGCTAGAGGTTTTAGGAGGGCGGGGAGGGTATACCTCAATTTTGTATGTTAATATATTCATATGATTCCAACCCCGGTGATTCTTCGCACCTATTAGACATGTTTCAAACATCAAAGATTTTTCCGTACACTTTTGCCCTTAAAACTGAATGATGGAGAATTATCTCCAGCAGGCGCTTCTTTAGATACAATACGTGCGTCGCGATCAGGAAAATGGGTCGGTCAGTAATGGCTGCCGTGCTGCCTTGGATCGGAACATAGTCATAGCAATACGTTCATGTACGCCCGCAGGAATGTTTCTCAGGGGCGAAGGGGGACATTCATCGACGAGAGAAAACGTTTTGTGAAAATGGACCTGCCTTTTTGAAGAGCGGGGATAGCAAATTTTTCATTTAGTTATTTAATGAATACCTGCGCAAACTGAAAAAATTTAAATCCTTGGTACATCTATTATTCAAAAAAGTATAATCATGAAATATGTATGTTCTTTAAAAAATGAGTAGAATGAGCTTAGGAAAGTTAAAATTGGCCCATTTATTACGCGGACATGTTGAACAACCGTACATAGCGGCCATTTTTAAATATCATGGGCAAACAACCACAATTAGGTCCGCGCGACCTGATTTTGCATATTCACATGACCTTAGTGGCTATTCCTCTAAAAGCTTACATTTCTTTGATATCGTCCCTCAAATTTATAGGAGCAGGCGCCCAATGGCGCCCCAAGAGCCTCGGAAACCCAGCAGGCGCCTCCCAGCAATGGAGACGCGCCAAATGTCAATGAAGTCACGGTGGAAGAAGGACAGGAGCGATTCTAGATCGATCATGGACGTTGCTCTTTAGGCTAACACGATCAGGATATAGTGGTTGGATTTTGGAAAAGTCATGAAATATCACCTATAATTTGATTAAGTTGTATGCTACGATTTGTATTTTAGACTTTTACTAGGTGCCATGTACCATGTCATACGCAAAGAATAACGAATAAAGAGATAAATAACGTCGGCCTACACACAGTGCCATGATGTAGCATGACCGTTCATATTTATGGCGAACTGTTGCCATCCTTTTGTTCACATCACAAAGCTATTGACTATGCTTCTTTAAACTTTGGGTCTATACCACACTTTTCGAAAATCTATCTCACTACCTTTGTTATATGATCAACATTCCCATGATTTTTGAAAAATAATTTAATTTCAGCATTGAAAAGTATGTACAGCTTATCCGGCCATAAATTGCCCACTCCTCGTGCCTTTTTTAAATGATAGTTTAGAAAAAAATTGTACTGAAAAGTAATGGGATCTAATATAAACCTGTGTGTGTAATGCTTTTTGACTCTGAAAAATGCTATCAAATAAGATTGTGTTTTTTAAATGTGACACCATGTATATTTTTAGTGAAAATTATGGTCGCTTTCTTTCCGATTCCAAATATGTATGGTTTCTTATACTGCGTAGACGGCTAAATCTGTACCTAGCTGGTTTGAGCTCGGTTACACATGAATAAATAGCACACACAATTTTAGTTTTTGTTAAAACTAGTGAGAATAAGAAGGATGAATATATATTTGTAATCAGTAAATAAGGTGTCTATTTTGCAAAAATACAACTTTACTAGGTGGCACCTTTCTTAGACAAAAACAAGATGTGTGAAAGACTTCATCTCAGAATAGAACTATTTTTTCTTAACGATCATAGAAAAAAGTTAGATCTGGACAATTCATAGCGAGACACCCTGTACATCTCACCTGAGCTATGTCGATAATGTCCATGTACCTTACTCCTAACTATCCAGGAGTTTCAAAGAAGTGCACAAATTTTGTTGAAATTAATCCAGGCATGTGTGTCAATTTCTGCTACGTAGAAGGCGGTAAAAAAATTGCAATAATAAAACAATATATAGGTATTGACTCTTAACAGCCTTCTTAATTATCTGAAATCCACCAGCCGTATCAGTTTTAATTGTTCTCAAAAATGACACTCACAAATTCCGCAGAAGGGCTAGAAACATTTCTAAATCGAAAGTGATTTTGTGAAACATCGAATTTAAGGCAAAATGCATCTTACATTACATCCGCATTCTAAAAACATGGTGTACAATATTGCAAGTATCAAATGTATACATCAAAGGCCTAAAGAAAAAGCTAATAATCAAAGTAGCATATTTATGCAGCGAGTAGAATCGAACATAAAGCATTATATCTCATAACCCATAACAATGACCAATGTGATAAATGCATGGATAAACGCAAACGAAACACAATTCGATTCTACAACGAAAACCTATGGTGACTTGATCGCTATGCCAAACTAATTGTAGTTGTATTTTATAATAGGAAATGTAATCACTAAATGTCACTACTTCTTCATTATTCACTATCATAAGGTTATGTTTTTGTAGGTATATATCTAGCTAGGTGTCATGAGTAGAAACATATAGGCCAATAATTGTATCCACATCTGTTATCTACAGATCCTTCGTGTTTATGAAACTAGTTTTACTTTCGCCCTGGTCCACAAACAACCGTGCTAGATGGAAGAAGACAAACAAAGCAATAGAGGATTACAAAAGTAATTTGACTTTCTTAGAAAATTCCCTTCGATTGTGAAAGTTTGTTTTATTGTATTTGTAATGGATGGAAATAAAAATTGTGTGAGATCCAGGAATGGTATGATAATTTCTATCTAGTCAAATATGACCACAAATCAAAACATTTATGGTGTATGTAAGTTCAACAAATACCATAAGAAAAATAAAAAACCGGACAGTCCTTTTCACGTAATTCAAGAAGTTAATCTCTAACTGTTTTTTTTTTGAGAGGCCATTTTAGAAGAAATTGGTGAACTACTTTCATAAAAGTGAAGGCCTATGTATTCACCAAGAACCCAACATTGTTGTTTTCTAAAAAGGCTGATTTCACCGCTAGGTCAACTTTTTAGACTTTTATACGACGTTCACATCAGTTGTTCCAAATAATTGTTCAAGATGGAATGATTTTTATTACATTTTTTATCATTTCATCTGAATCACTTGGACAACTACGATGAATAATATTCATAGATATGTTCTGATCCGCTCGGAATTCCAAAACAAGGTGTATGATACTCATGAATAATTATGAGCTATCAAAACGTTTTCGAATACTGCTCCGCCAAATTAACCAGTGGATCAATATGTAAATAAACTTTAGGCAAGATTACCTTGATAATCAAATACTCTGTGTGCGTGCTATGTAATGAAGTTTGAGATTTTTTTAATATCAGTTTTCAGTATATTTGGATTGATAGTGGATGAATTCTAACACCAACCGTTGAAGATCATAATGGTGACAAAAAACTTATTTATTATATCGTTTGACCCACTCTCGACCATTCACTATAAGTCCTTTTGTAAAGGAAAACAAATTAATTCGATATTGAATTTCGTTAGCTTTAATTGTTTGAAGCATTGTATGTTCAAAACTATAATCCATGTTATGTAGAGACAGAATATATTAGGTGAATTACTGATTATCAATATAAGTATTAAAGTACAATGTTTATTTAAAGGACCAAAATAAATAACTATTTGCTATATTATATGTTATGTTAAGCATGTTACATTTGTTAGTTATATGCTCCATATTACTTTATTTATACCTACTTGAAATATTTTTAAAATAGTCGCATAATCTATAAGTGAATATATGTGTAAAATTATTTAAATAGATTTTAACCAATGTATTCCAGTTATTTTTACTTTTACCAAAAAAAACGGAAGGAAATACGCCCCACCACTGTACATTGTACGATTTATGAGTTTAAATAAATGTATTCCAGTTGTTTTGGGATTTTTATTCTAGAATCACATTAGCTTAGGACTTGTCCATGATAAGATATCATTCTTGGAAATCGGTATAAATATATGCATGAAATGCATTTTTTGCAGTTCAATATTTGCATACTTTAACTCACTGGTTCTTCGTAAATTAATATTGTTCTCGGAAGATTGAATGGAAAAAGTATATCCCATAGTTTGCAAAATACAGAAGTCCGATTCATACATATAAATATCTCCAAAGCCATTGAAGAGAATGAGTGACCCTGAATGCAATATTTTTTATGTAAATGAGAGTTCTCAAAAACAATCAGGTAGCATATAAAAAAATACATGTTTTTGCAATAGTATTTTATACAGAATTCTTAACAAGTATGTACATTATACAAAAAAATATTATTATTAAAAAGGTATATCATCAATACAAGTTACAAAATATGTATGTATCACTACAATCAACCATTTATAAAAAATACCTTTAATGGACGGATATGTTACAACAATTCGAAATGGCGTTCTCAACTTGAGATTCACTTTTATCAAAAAATGAAGAAACAAAAAATGAAGTCAGATCTACACTAGATGCATGCATACATATTATGTTACATGATATTCAGTTTGAGTATCAGTCAAAAATAATTATTATCGCTGAACTGCATCCACCAGATTTATAGAGACCCTTATTTTATATAGTGGTAGTAATCTTGCAAGTAGTGAAATCAATGGTTTCGTTCTGTATCACCTAGCTGCTACAAAATAAAATAAATGTAGGCTAAATCTGTCAAATCAAATGAAAGTCATATTCCATAACATCTTTAAAACAAGTCTATCATATGGTATAAGCAGCAAAAAACAAAAGTGTATTTTTGTATTGATTGTCAATCTTTGTACTTGAAATACTATGGATGTAAATTTGTACTTTGTAAGTATTTGATATGGAAACACATTAGACATCTGGCACAGAATAAACATCTCTTTTATAGAGTAGTACCCTACTATTTTAACAATCCCTTGGCATTCATAAGCTAAAAGGAACGATAAGAACAATGATAATGGATATGGTAATGACCTGCCTTCATTTAAAAAATCCCCATTATTGCTCTGATTCAATGGTACAATGATAACATACCCATAGTCATCAAGTATAATATAATTATTTCATGTTATCTTGCAATATAGAAAAATATTCCAATTTTCCTTAAATTATGGAAAGTAAGCCTCACTTTTTACTCTAGTTGGAAAAAGTGCATACTGAAATTCGCTCATAAGAAGCTTTTCTTCATTAGATATACATTTTGTTACATACTCTTTGTATGTATAAACCATATGAATCAATAAAAAATTAAGAGAGAGTAACCATACTTCCAAAGTAAACTGAATTTAGGGACATGGAAAGCGATTAAACCTAATTTGGTGAGTTGGATTTTTGCAATTTTTTTTGGAATTTATAATTACAAATACCTTCCCTCATATCTCAAACTGCCTATAATGAAACTTTTTCCAGGAATATCACTTATTTTAGTCAAATTACATATCTACTTCTTGTGGGAAGCTTTAATAGAATTCTGTTCATAGCCTTAAACAGACAACAAATTCGTCTCACTCAGCATCTACCAATTGACTGTCATACCTGAAGGTTGCCTGGTATTGATGTTGATGGATGAAAATTTAAATGTTTGTTGTTGAGACAGCTCAAATGATAAAGAATAAGAGAATATTTTAATAGAGTATATCATGATTTTGGTGCTTCAAACAAAAGCTAACAGTTATGCAATATCATAAAGTCTTGGACATCTACCTTAGCCCTTAGCAGGTAGGTGCAACTGAATGTAACCATTGTTAATGTTCACCTTATCACACATAAGTGTGTCCAACCACTATTGCTACAACTCTTCAGAAAATTATTCAATTATATGTTCAAATTGTACTCTCTAAGCATTTTATTTAAGGGGTTCTTCTAAAAATATTTAGAACCCGTTCTTAAAATGCACACATCAAAAACAACCACTGCATACACAATCTCACTCAAATTCACACTTTGACTAAGTCAAAGTATTCAAAACTATACTTGCAATGTTTTTTTAAATATGGCCAAAGGTAGTTTAATAAGAGGAGTTGTTAATCAAATTAAACCCCATCTAAAATAAAAAGGACCATGACCAAGGTAGAAAAGATTGATTTGGTGCTTAGGCTGAAAACATAGTGGAGCGATGAGGACAGCGGCGAGCAAACAGCGCGACATTGCGTCGAAATCAAACGCGTAATATCAAATGCAAGCCTACATAGTAACGAGACGAGATCGAGCGGCGAGATTGACTCAAAATATTTTGTTTTCGCCACTTTGTCGCTCTGCAATTTTAAAGATGGCTTATCAAAGACTGATCAATTTTGTGTTTGTGAGGCCCAGTTTATGGGATCAAAAAGACCAAAACCACCATAATCGGTAGATTTTGGATAAATTGTTGACTGAGGTGGCAAAAGAAAGAAATTGTACATGTAACTAGATTTTAAAAATAAGTTCGAAAATCTCAGTTAAGTAAATATGTTTGTTTTATAACTACTACATGATTAAAAATAAGCCTATCAGTGCTTTTGTTTTTATTTTAAAACAACATAAATAAACCTGTTAATTACATACCTTAATATCATAATTAAATCTTCTTCTGGTCCTATTGGAGTTAGATTAAAATTGGTCCAATTTTCTGTTGATTTACATCTGCCTAAATTTAATATATAATCGAATGTTCCAATTTTCATTCTTGTGTACTGATAAAATTTTTCAGGATGCTGTTGCAATTTTCCATATAGAGTATGGAATTCTCCTCTTTGTGGATACTACTGGAACTGCATTTTTGTAAAAAATGCCAATATCAAAGTTTAGATGTATCACTATCAAAAACTTGAGATGCCCTTAATAAAATTAGAAAATACTTTGATTATACTCGCATTAAACCTGCCTAGTCGTGTTTTACTATGTCACTTTACTATATATTCGCAATACGAAGCTAAAGCAGTGAGATGTTACAGTGTTTGCTAGTCACTCCACTATGTATTCAGCCTTAGAATACCTTCAAGTAATATGCTTGAAAAAAAAAATACAGATGTCATGCTGTTTTCTCGTCACTCCACTATGTTTTCAGCCTTAGAATACCTTCAAGTGATATGCTTGAAAAAGAAGACAGAATGTTGTCATGTTAATCATCATGGAAACATTCTATAAAAGCTGTGAGCACAACTTTAAGCACTGCTGTTTTGGATCTTTAAATTACTGAAATAGTTTCAGTACTCCCAATAGAAATACTGGCCCCACTAGACAATAGCTAAATTTGCTATAATATGTAGATGCTCCAGACTGTGAAAATAAAAATGAAGTTTTGTAAGTGTTGTGTTCTAAAAATCAAATATATTGTGATATAAACTATTGAATTAAATAACTTGCTGGTAGACTGAAAAAACAATGCTAAGATGTATAAAAAAATAGTGAAGAATAAATAACACATTTCTTTTACTACACCCTATAATGTAATCATGTACATTCTTTAAAATGGTATTTGAAATTAGTAAGCAAGCGGACTTATTCTTACATTTCCATAATATGAATATAATTTGAAAAATGAACAATATAAGTGGAGCAGTATGGTAATAGAAGAATAGATACTTACAATGATGTAGTAGTTGCACCTATCTCCTCTACAACATTCTGAGCATTTCCAATCTTGATACCAAATGTGGGTACAAGTAGCCATATTATAGCTTCTATACTTTGCACACTTTTCTGAAGTAGAGCATCGTTTTGAAATATAGTACTGTTTCAATGCTCCCTGTTGCCAATAAGGAGTACTCCCCCAACTAATTTCTGATAAGCAAACATCCTCACCATATTTACAAGTTTCTATTGTTGTGACACATTTTCCTTCATTATTCTCCTGGTTGTCGCATACATAGCATTCTAGGGCTGTACCTGAAGAATCAACTACATGTTAAATTTGAAAATAGTGAGGGAGTGCAATTACTTCAGATTTTAACAGACCTCAATGCCTGTATTGTTATTTCTGGGTTTATAGTGTTTTAACTTATTGACAAGACTAATCTTAAAAAGGAAAGGTTCTGAACGTATACATTAATTTATGTATACTTACTAAAATTCAGTAGCGTAAATACTATGAGAGCAATAAGCAGAATATGTTGAACCATTTTATTGTAGCTGGCCTAGTAAATCAAAATGTGATTATAAGAGTAAACTAAAAAACGACACACCTACAGGTGAATAATGGTTTGTTTTCAACAAGATGTCTTGTGTTTTGTGAAGTGAAGATGAAACAAATCACAAAACACATGATAGGTTAAGCTTACGTCACTGTCAAGTAAATCATCCGTCAAACATTTACTGTGGATGACTATACAGGACAAACTACTCCAAGACTCGTTGTGCTGCCATTTTCTAGGTTAAAATAAAAAGTAGTGATGTAACGACGTTAGATATCGAAAACACTGAAAACACCAAATGAATGAGTCCCACAATTGGTTTGTAGTATCTATGTGTTTTGATTGAATAAGTTATTTATTTTTAATATGTGCGGAAAGTAATACCAATTCCAATCAAAGATTTTTTATTTCATTTAGAAACTATAAACAGAAGAGAGATTTATATTCATCCACATTTCTAATGTGATGCAATGTAAAAATCTAATTAATCTAAAACTTGTGACCAGGATCAACCTGCAAATTTAATAAATAATAGTTAATAAAAACACGCTTTCATAGCTAACCGAATTAAAAAGTATAAAATAATTTTTAATTACAAAGAGTTTATATTACAGTCGTAGATATCAATCATAATTTATGACCTAAAAATAAAATTATAATAAAAATTGAGTTATTAACAGAATAATTCAATTCAGATTAAAAAGCGGTGCATTTTACTACATTTTCATAACTCTGCTTTCATAGATAGTTGCCAATAGAATTATTGTAACATTTAATATATCAAGCACCCCACGCTTTGTACTCTGAATTTAATTATTCTGGTAATTACTTAAAATTTATTATAATTTTATTTTGAGGTCATTAATTATGATTGATTGTTTGACCATCTACTATTGTAATATAAACTCTTTGTAATTAAAAATTATTTTATACTTTTTAGTGGGTGAGAATTTATGATTAGATATTGGTTTCATGATAATAATTCCTTCTTTATAGATTGTACCACCAAAGCTATCTAGGAATCGTACTTGAAACAGAAGTAATCGGGACACATACTCTCGGCACGGAGAGAGGTAACCGTGGAATAAGCTGATACAATTAAATCGCGTTGTCATTTTTCCACACGTCAGGTTAATTAAAGTTGCGGTCTTGTATTTTTTAATTCATATTCGTTATTTGTATTTTAATCAATAAGACAAATTATTCTTTGATCGTATTAAATTCCTTCTTTATCGACTGTAAATTCAAAGCTTTGATGTTTAGCAAATTTTGTTCCATAAAATAAATAGATTGAAATTTATGTTCTGATCATTTTGTTGTGAATAAGAAGCCTTTTGTGAATCACGGTAATCATAGATAGATAGATAGATAGATACATTTATTGTCTTGTAGATCATAAAAAATGACATAAGACTCGTCCTAAGAGGGAGGTAGGTACATAGTACACATAATTAAAAATAAAAACGAAACAAACATAAGTATTTACAAAGTACAAACAGGGACAACTTAATGCGTACAGACATTCACATATAAAAAAAGTTTAAAAAAAAATATATCACAGTGCGAGGTATTCAGACAAAGAATAGAAACATTTTTCAACTAATAATTTGCGTAGTTTACATTTAAAACTAGGAATACTACTGACATTCCTGAGGTTAGCTGAAAGTTTGTTATATATTTTGATGCAGGTGTATTCCGGTACTTCACTATATTAGATAACTTCGTTAAATACTGTCATCTTTGTAAAAAAAAAAGTAGCATTGAAGTAACCGTTTATACGAGGGTCATTTTAATAACCTAAAACGCTCTAATAGTTCGATATAAATGGTTTGAATGTAGCGAATCTAAAAAATTGAACTATTTCGATACTGTCATAGCAACAAGTTCACATAATGTGACTGCGCTATGAAGACCTCATATTCTTCGGAAGAAAAGGATTAAGTTTTGTAGCACATTTTTTAAATAAAGATGCAAAGTGTGAAAGTGAAATGAAATATGTATTTAGGTGAATGATCTCGAAGTGCGTGTTTCTGGAAGAAGGCTCCTCAACATAGCAAATTAGGTAAGTAACTTTACATCTTTGACATCGCTACCATCATATACATATCTACAGGGTGACTTTGAAGTTGAGTCATTAATTTTCAGATAATGATTGTAGAAGGAAGATAAACCAAAATATGTGTGTAAAAATAAAAAAAAAATTTGTTACCTTGTTTTATAAAGTATCCTCCCGACAAGTATTTCAGTGCGGACCTGTATTTGATCGTGAGGTCCCCTGTGAGGTCTTAAGTCACCTGATTCACGAGCCCGTTGTACTACATTAACAAAGGCATGGTTGCACTCGATTGGGAAACCGATCCGCATAAAGATGTGCCATTTTTTATTTCGTTTGAGCCACGCAACAGACACTATTCACACGCGACTGACACTAACTGTATGTATAACTGAACTGAATAAAATAAACATCGTTCCAAATTCTTTCGCTTTTTTGTTTCCGATGCGATGAACCGATAAGGTGGATTATATCCGTTGTTGCCAAACACGAGTACATGATATTAATGAGACAGGGCGGTACTCAAACTTCCAAAGGGCTATAACTTTGTTACTTTAATTTTACCAGAAAAATGGTAAAGGAAAAAAACATTTCTTTTGATCAAATCTACTCACTGTTAAAATAAATGACTCAACTTCGAAGTCACCCTGTATATTTTGGTTAATAGTATGAAAACTAATGTCTAGATAAATAATTACAATAGCAGTCAACGTTACTCCAACAACTTGATGCAGTCATTTATCATCTCATCCAGACTTGCAAGAGAAAATGTTTGAACATTTTCAGATACGTATCTGTCTCTGCCTCCGGTTCTCGGTTTATATAGTTATGACTATTGGCAAAAAATGTAAACGAATACAATATCGTTGTCGTCTACTATACAACGTTATTAAAATTATCATTTATTTAAAAAACACACAAGTGATGAGCACGCAAGGCTCACCTAGTTTGGTGCACAGATATCCTGTTTCCCTCAGAAGAGTTGGAAGTAGACCTAATTTCCACTTTGGAGACACTTGATACCCACGTCACAGCACTGAAGCACCACTGAGACACAATCGAGAACCCTATTGTGAACACCACTACTAAAAAAAGTAGCTAAACGGAATAGAGCTGTAAACGCGTGCACATTCCGCTGCGCCGACGGTTGCCGAGAGACTGAAGCGTGTGAGTGCTGTACCACGCTGCGGCGATACAGTACGGCCGGGTAGTACAGCCACGCCCCTTTCCAGCTCCCACTCCGCGCGTCTGCTACCGGTCAACGTAAACATCGAGTCGCTTCGGGAGCAGACGCGCGGAGTTGGAGCTGGAAATGGGCGTGACTGTACTACCCGGCCGTACCGCATCAGGGCCGTATGCTCCGCTGTCTCCCGTCACGGGGAGAGTGATTATCATTTGGGTTGATATAGATAACGTGCATATTTTCACCTACAGGCCAAACGGCTGGACGGATTTTCACATATGAGGTATCGTTGGATTTGCCTTAGCGGTGCGAGTCTAGTGCCACTCGCATTGAAATTTTATAAAAAAACAAAATGGTGGGTTTTAATAAAAGATTTCAACCTTGTAATTCCTACTTCATAGGCTGCAGATCAAACGGCTTGATAGATTTTCACATATGAGGTGTCGTTGGATTCGTCTTAACAGTGCGAGTGACACTAGCTACATTAAAATTTTATACAAAACAATATGGTAGATTTTAATAAAAGATTTTAACCCTGTAATTCCTATTTCACAGGCTATAGCTTAAACGGCTTCTAGCTCTACAATAGAGCGTATCGTCTCTTCACTGTAAAAACAAGATGACTCCATTTTTCTACATTACCTATGTTTTAGTATGTTCTGTGGAGCAGGATTAACATGTTCATGTCATAATACTGTACTAGATTTATCCTTATTCCACAGAACATCCTAAGTACATGTAAGTGTGAAAATGCACGCAACACGAAAAATGGAGTTATCTTCTTTTTGCAGTAAGGTGGTGGTATAACAATAAATGGAAATTTTACGATTTTTCTGGTCTTTCAAACTTTCATTCAGTTCTTTGATCCGGAAGAACATCCTTGACCTGAAAAACAGTTTTTTAGGGCAGTCAATGTTGCTGCTCGTCAACAGAAGTTCACCTATAAAATTTTGCTTTTTTGTCACTATTCCGTTCCCATTGAATGTAGTGAATACCTTGTTCAGCTTCTCAATTTGATTCATGAAAGTTGCGCAAGGTTTTGATAATTCACCCTCACTAAGATGGTCAATTCATGAATAAGTTTCATTTGAGGAACTTTTCAACCTCTCATCCTGCAATTTATTGCAAACAAAGCCGGCCAAATTTTCCAGCCCGTCATACTATTTCTTCCACTAAAACTTGCTCGGTATAGTCAGCTGATACTCCAGGTGCATTCAGTTTATTCTCGTTAATGATGCGGTTAGTGGAATGTCTGGAGTATCCTCTGACTCTACGCTGCAATAGGTAGTCTGAGTATGCGCCTTTGTTTCGCCCCAACATATATAAACTTATTCTATACTTAAACTCTAGAGAACTTAATTGTATGGTCATGAAGACCATCTTTTCCTCACATCCTGATTAAGACGTCTTGTTAACAGGTATTGGACGCTGAAGCGTCGTTTCAGATCCTCTAGAGCATTTTCTAGCAAACCCTAGCGCTTTTTACATTGGCACTACATGATGGTGTTTTTAAATGTGCCCGAAGTGCACAACTTTTAAAAAAGTACGACCCTGTATCTAATAGCATGTTTTTCTACGACTTCAAAGATGTATCACGTTACATTTCTTTCTTTTAAGTTATAAACAAACGAGTGTTTTTCTATTTTTTCATTTTATTTAAGTAGGCGTTGCAAACAAATGCTTGATGTAAGATTGTGTGATTACTGAATTTAACCTAGTCTGATCCTTATCTTGGCCACCCTGTAATACATTATTATAAAAAGAAATTCACAGAAACATGCACTAACCTAACGTTCTTGTAAGTATTCTCATGTAGTTACATTCATTTCTGAAAAATCTCTAAACTATTAGCAAAGCCTCGAACAAAATACTATTTTGAATCCAAGGAATTTGTGATAGTTTATAATTGACAGTATCGTGCTTTGACACTAAGCCCTTGACACTATGTTTACTAAATGGGGTGCAAAAAATCAAGCGTTGATTCTCTGGCGTTTTCAAACCTGGAATCTCAGCCCCGTGTTTAGGAAACTACAATGTTTTTCCTTGGTTGTTGGAGGATACGTGGGCACCAAATGTCCAACAAGAGCAGGGATGTGATACGTCCAAAATGCGTCTGCCTGTAATTCCACATGATCGACGACGAGTTATAAGTTGGATTCAAGTTATCAAGCTGTACATTTTTAGCTCCCTCAAAATGATATGCCTAATATCTCTGCGTATAAGACGGATACTAATAAATAGTAGAGTGAAATGAAAATCGTACTTTCCTATTAATGATCATGTAATTTTTGTAATTTTAGATCAAATAGTTAAAAAATGTATTTATATAATAAAACATTGTTTTTTTCAATTGCTGGAAGAACTGGGCATTTAAAAAATGTTCAGAGATATTAACATTGCTACGCCTCAAACTTCTTTTTTTTTAACATTATATCAAAATCGTCCGATGAGCTGGCAACACCGCAATCTAGTTGGTAAGAATGAGGTTATCTTCCAAGACGGATGTCTATCCCGGGGTACTGTCAGCATCATTTAGAACAATAAAGCGTCAATTCTCAATTGCATTTTTTTAAGTGTTGTGCAACGATTTTCGCAAAAATTTCCCTACGGATAGTCTGTTAGAGTCTAGTAGAATACATTTCAACTGTTGTCTTGCGTGGCCATGTTATCTTTACTCGGAACCGAAAATAATAATAAAAAAAAAGAACAATAGCAACCCCAATATCCCGAACAATAAATCAATCATACTATCAGGTACTGTTGCGTCTTGTAGAACTTCGGATTTCACTGTTTTTTCACTTGATACTTATAGAGGGTAGTCTGACAAATTATTTTACATCATAAAAAATGTGGATGGAGCACGCTTTTCATGATTTTTTTTTCCAAAACACTGTATTTTTTTAGCAGTTATTCTATTCCCCCCATTATTTCCACCGCCATCTACCATATGACGCTAACGTCTGTGCAGTGTGCATATATCATGTATGAGAGGCGCTTGCCTGCGGTGTTGCCGGATTGGGCTCCGTATTTAGGGAAAAATATTAAAAGTGGAAAATTTACCTATATACATTTATATTAATGAAACACAAAAACAAACAACAGTAGTAAAATTAAAAGTGATTCTTACTAAGTATAAAACAAAAAATAACAAACAGCAGTAAAATAAAAAGCAATTCTAAGTGGTTATAAAAAACAAAAAAGGAAAACTGTAGTAAAACAATTCCATTTAATTATAAAAAACAAAAAATAACAATGGAAAATTATTGGAAAAAGACTTAAAATTACTAGTAAACGATATGACGGTAATTCCTTTTTTAATTATAAAAAACAAAAAATAACAATGGAAAATTATTGGAAAAATACTTAAAATTACTAGTAAACGATATGACGGTAATTCCTGCCAAAGGCACAGTTTGTTCAAGCAATGATGAATCTACAAAACATATAGAGGATAATAATGATTTAACTCTCACATTTGGAGATATCTCAGCTATCCCAAATCCAAATGATACTACACTTACTAGAGAAAATGTAGATAAACTACATTCTACTGCTATACACCCAGATGAACTGACAGTTCAAAATGACGCTGACGTCTGTGCATATATCATGTATGAGAGGCGCTTGCCTGCGGTGTTGCCGGATTGGGCTCCGTATTTAGGGGAAAATATTAAATGTGGAAAATTTACCTATATACATTTATATTAACGAAACACAAAAACAAAAAACTAAAACAAACAACAGTAGTAAAATTAAAAGTGATTCTTAATAAGTATAAAACAAAAAATACCAAACAGCAGTAAAATAAAAAGCAATTCTAAGTGGTTATAAAAAACAAAAAAGTAAAACTGTAGTAAAACAATTCCATTTAATTATAAAAAACAAAAAATAAAAAGCAATTTGGATGGAATGAAATTGTACTTCGTTTTACTACTGTTTTTACTTTTTGTTCTGTGTTGTCACTTAGAATTTGCTTTTTATTGAACATGCAATTGTTTTTTTTTTGTTTTACTACTTTTTATTTTACTGCTGTTTGTTATTTTTGACTTTTTTAATTACATGGAATTAGTTTTTGTTTTAAAACTGTTTTTAATTTTTTCTTTTATAATTATTTATAATTTATCATTTTTTAGCTTACTACTGTTATTTTTTTAACTATACTTATTAGGAATCACCTTTTTTGGGCTCACTGGTGACTTAACTTTTTCAGAGTTGAACTTCAGACAAAATCGAAGTCTCTTTAAGGCCTAGCTTCATTGTTTGAGATTGTACAAACAATACTTTGCTTTTGGCAAATACTGAAGAACTAAAATTAGACTGCGAAGACACTTAAAAGCCACTAATGTTACCGTTTCTGATTGGGTATCTCTAGATTTTTTATAGTGTATTGTAAAATGTGATTTTACAGAATCTCTTCCAAATCTTATGATTGCACCAAAATTGTTCATGACAGTTTGCGTGTCCGAAGCTTCATGTGAAAGGATTTCAGTAAACTAAAGTTAATAAAAAACTTTTTGCGGGCAACAATCTTGGTATATTTGCCATTGAACATGAGGCAATACAAAATATAAATTTTGCTGAAGTTATTCCTGAGTTTGCAGCTATTAAAGCCAGAAAGAAGAGGTTTTAATTGTAAAGTTAAACATAGTTTTTGCTGTATTTTTTTTATTGTGTTTCGATATTTGTTCAATATTTTAAATATGAATATTAAATGATCCATGATGTTTATAAATCATATAAGCTTAATTGCATTTGACTTTCAATGGAGTGACACCACCAACTTCCGTATCAGGTGCCACCCAAGGTAGCTACGCCACTGTACATACATAAATACAGGCCAAGCTAATAAATGCATGTTAAAATAAAAACACTCAAAACTATATTTTTACCTGGTCTGAAACACATTGAATTTTACATTGTATGAAACATTTTTTTCTCCAATATTGCTTTGCATTGGCAATTTTCTTCTTTCTACTCTTCAATTAACAATAGCTTTTAACTTTCTAATCCTCTCCTCACAGATTACACCAAAGTGCAAAATTGTTATGGCCAGCTCTGGTCAGGGATGCTGTATTTTTAATTGTGAAATGTTGATAGAATGCAAAGTGACCAAAATCAATTATCCTTAGATATAAGTTTTTGCAGTAACACTTCTTCAAGACTATTTCGATTTGTAGGGGTTACTGTTATCAATTCAATGTCCTTGTCTTCTTTCAGCTGTGTTATTAAAAGGATATTACTTTTTTCTGGTACAGTTGCCATTACATTCAAATTTCTAGTTTTCATAACAGTTGTGACTGCAGTCTTGAACTTCTTACTAAACAATTCCATTTTTCCAATTTCATCAATAACTAATAGGCCATTAGAGGATGTGTTTCCAACAACTGGCAAAGCTAACTTTTCAAATTCGTTTATGTAGACCACATACTGTCCTACTCTTGGTAACCGTTCGTCGCTTGTTGAAGAACTTTTTCTAGCTAGTGGGGCTCTGTTTCCTGCCAAAGTTACTATATCAAAACCAATTCTAGAGTTATTTTGTCGGATTTCTTCAGTGTAAAATCCTTTGCAAGTAATTCCTTCAGATATCAGTTTTTCCGCAATCTTCTTGATAAGAGTTGTCTTGCCGACTCCTGGAGATCCAGTAATTAGGATTCTCTTCATAGTAAAAAATAATCCAAAACACGTAGAGAAAATGAACAACAATCGACAGGCTAAAGGAGGTTATGTGTATTATTTTCAATTTGGAAGTTGGCCTGTGACAAGCCCGTGCCCAGAGGTGCGGAGCTACCAATACCCATCACCTGTCAATACCGTTGCAGTGATCTAGATCTAGAGTGACAGGCACCTGACCTATTCATTTTTGAACTCCCAGCCCCCTCATGCACCAGCTTTTTATTAGGTGTTATACGCTTCGATAAAGTATATAGTGGGGAACAGTCATAGTCTGACAATTCTTCTGAAAAGAATGGCAAAATGAATTTACATTTCCGTTGTTTGGCACTTTGGCAGTGTGACACAAATTGTCAAGGGCAAAGCAAAACATCAACAAACTTAGGTCACAGATTATACAGATGCGACATCTGCTCTCGGTCTCTTTGATCTTCGTGTCCCCAACTGCTTACCACATTTCCCGCTTGTGTTCAATAGCGCCCGAACGCTTTTTTCCCAGGGGGTTGATACGCGTTATTAGCAAGACGTCACGAATGTTATATGTCATACAACATAAAGGATTTTTTCGGGAGTCCACGGTGAAGGAAAGTGCACCACCGGGAACCGAAACTCAAATTTTCGCGAAGAACGGGAATAGGGGAAGACGGATGTGACGTCGTCTGAATGTCAAAAAATCACGTGGTGCGGGTACCCGCCTAACGTCTGTGAGGTACTAGCGGGTGACAGGTCTTATGTCAATGGCATTTAAAAACAGGCATCTCAATTGAAAATTTGTCTTTGCAGTGCTGAAAATTGAGTTAAATTATTAAATCATAAATGGAGGAACACGTCCACCTGATTTTAAATGACGAGAGAGAAGGTCATCGAAAATATATGAACCGCACTTTTCATATCAAATGATTGATTTCATTGATATATAAGTACATTTCACAAAAAACGATCGGTCTTGTTATTTCAGATTCAAACAAGACACATGAATTTGGCGAGATTATAATCGTTATTTCTTGAAAAGCCATTTATAATAATAATAATAATAATAATAATAATAACGCCTTTATTCATATTTTGTACATGTGAGGGACAAAGATAGCGAAGTTTAGCTTGAGCTACTCTTACACTTAACTACCTTTGTCTGTACTTTAAGCACGATGTTGTGTGCAATTCCAAAAAAAAAAGATAAAAAAAAAATATATAAGAAAAACTAAGGAGTACAGAAAGGTTAAATAACTAATCAACTAAACTAAAGAACACTACAACAATATACACTATGTACACGTATGCCTAAACGGCTCAGAAAATCAGTTATATAAATATCAGGGAAGAGTGAGCATAAATTGCTTGATTTGCCTTCGAAAACGAGCAAAAGACATTTCCCTGTACTTTCTGGGCAAAGCATTGTAAAATACGGCAGCATTATACGAGAAACAACGCTTGAAGAGTGTCATAGAGTATGGAGGTATCCTGATCATAATACGGTCCCTGGTAATCCTGTCATGAATTTCTTGATTAAATATGATCTTTTCTCTCAGGTATGCAGGTCTTGACGCAGCTATCAACTTGTGCAAAAACACTAAGTATTTGCACCGCACATGTTTATCAATTCTTAGCCATTTCATTTGGCTGTATTTGTCACTAACATGGTCAAATCTCCTCAATCCATGAATAAAGCGAATGCAATTGTTTTGAATTATTTGAAGCCTGCTTTTCATCCGTTCATCAAGACATGGGTAATATAAAATATCACAATAACTGAGAATTGGCAACACAAGAGACTCACAAAGTTTTTTCCTCAGTTTAAAGTTCAGAAGGTGGCGATTGGCATATAACGCTCTCATTCGACCATACGTTTTTTTAGCTAAGGACATAACATGCTCCCTAAATCTCAATTTGCTATCTACTTCAACACCTAAAATTGTAGCTGAATTAGCAATCTGCAGCAGCGAGCCATCAAGGTTAACTTTAAATGTATCCTCCACGACACTTCTCCTTGCGTCGGAACAAAATAGTAATATTTGAGTCTTATCTGGATTAATGTTTAGATTATGGTCACTTGAATATTTTTGCACTTTGCTCAGATCCTGCTCTAATAAGGCAGCAGCATCCTGCGAACAAGAGGCGTCAAAATAATGAATGAGTTGAGTGTCATCAGCAAAGCTTAGTAAATCGGAATGTGCGACAGATTTGTGCAAATCAAAAGTGTATATGAGAAATAACACAGGGCCTAGTATGGAGCCCTGAGGGATTCCTGATGGTATCATACTGACTTCTGATAGCCTGCTGCCTACAGAAACGCACTGCATACGGTGTGAGAGGTAGTTTTTGAAGAATTGGATAGCTATATTGTCAAATCCAATGTACTTTAACTTAGAAAGTAAAAGCACATGGTTAATTTTGTCGAATGCTTTGGAGTAGTCAATTGAAACTAGGGAAACCGCCATTTTTTTGTCCATAGCTCTTATAACGTTGTCGCACAGATTTAATAATGCAGAGGTTGTGCTGTGATATTTCCTAAATCCAGATTGATTTAAAGGAATGATGCCATTATATTCAATAAAAGACTCTACTTGAAACTGAACTGCTTTTTCCAGTATTTTTGACAACACAGGCAACAAACTTATGGGTATTAGATGAGTAACATCAGTAGGTTTATTGTTTTTTGGCGTTGGTAAGATCAATGCATTCTTCCAGGCTTTGGGAAACAAGCCTCTTTCAATGCAAGTGTTAACTATGTGTACAATATGATAAAATATTATTGGTAAACTAACTTTGATCATTGTAATTGACAGCGTATCAAGGCCTTTAGCGTCTGATTTTAGACCTTTTACTATATCAAAGATCTCTTGAGGACTTAAGATTCTCAAAGAAAAAGAATTAGACGGATTTAGTTTATTGCTTCTATAAAACTCGCACACATTTTCCGGCACACTATCAACATTATAAACTGACATGAAATACCTGTTTATCAGATTAACATCACTGATGTTATCAGGCAAAGTATATTTGTTACAAGACTTTATATTAAGTTTATTTATGCCTGACCAAATCTTCCTCGATTCATTTTGCTCAGAAAGTACTGCCAGATATTCTTTTTTTGCCTTTCGAATATCAATAAGGACTTTATTCCTAATGCGACGATAGTTTTCATAATTAATTGCAGTCTTATCTTGCTTATATCTTGCTAACGCAGTAACTTTAGCGAGCATACCTTTTTTTATTTCATCAGTCAGCCATGGCGCAGGTGGCTTAGAAACACGTACAGATCTGAGTGGAGCATGTTTATTGAATAATTCGACTAGGATATTTGTTAAATGGTCAACTTTACTGTCAATGTTTGGGATAAAAAACAGATCATCGACGGAGGAATTAGCGAGATCATTAAGGAATGCTGCATCATCAAAACATTTAAAATCCCTGAAAGTTACAATATTTTGCTTTCTCTTGAATTTATTTAACCTAAGCTGACACATGACAAGTTTATGATCAGATACCGAACCTGCATCAAGTACAACACAGTCACCAAAAATATCTGGGTTGGTGGTAAATATAGGGTCAAGTAATGTTGCTGCGTGCTGCGTTACACGGGTTGGGGAGGTAACCAATTGGACAAATCCAGTTGAATTGAAACAAGGAGAGATTATGTTATTTTGTTTCAAAAAATCAACATTTAGATCACCCATTACAACTACATTATCAAACTTACCCGAAACCTCAGGTAAAAGGGCATCCAACAACCTGACACATTCATTGATATTTTGCCCTGGCGGCCTATACATCACCCCTATAACAATTATTCGCCTACTGATGGTCATCTTTACCCACAAGCATTCCAAACAATTGCTTGCTTGCGCATCTAGGTCTAAAAATTCAACACGCAAGTCAGACTTAAAGTAAATTGCCACACCACCTCCGCGCGCTTCCCTATCACGACGAAAGAGATCATAGCCATTGATACTTACAGAATTATCAGTGACGTCAGTGTTGAGCCACGTCTCTGTCACTGCAAATATATCCAAGTCATCAGTATTTACCAAGTTGACAGCTGCATCAAAGTCCGACATAAGAGATCGTACATTGAGGTGGCCAAATTTCAAAACACATTCTCTAGCTGCCATAGTTTACTCTACTTTTAAGATTTTGAAAATATGTTGCATACATTGGACATTCTTTGTCATTTGCTTTGTGAGTAGTACCATGCTTGGTATGAAATTTTTCGTTATGTTTATGGCAATTTATACATTTTTCCATATCACCTTTACAATCCTTCACTACATGACTACCTGAACATTTTAGACAAATCACGGAATTAGCCCTACAATTTTTTGCACTGTGACCAAAACCACAACACTTATGGCACTGAATTATGTTGATATGATCAACAACCTTGTATCTTCTCCAACCAACGTATATGAAGCCTTTATCAATAATTTGCTTTCTGGCGTGTGGAGAAAGCTCCAAAATTAGATGATAGGCACTACTTATCTTCAGCATAGTAACAACTTTCATGCTGGCATCATTTACATCAATGCCATTCTGCTTAACAATATTATCAACTAGTTTAGCATCCGTGTCCAGCTCTTCATCACTCACAAAGTTTTTTACAAGGATGCGAGGGTTATACTTTACGGGTTCACTAATGTGATACTTCGCCCCTAATTTAGACCTCAGCGCAATTTTCAATTTTTGCAGGTCGTCATTGTTTCTGCAATAAACGGCTGCACCCTGCTTTGTTTTCCGTGTACCATTAACACATACCTTTATTTCAGCTGGATTGATGCTGTCCTTAATCGATTTAATAACGTCAATATCATCTTTGTTTCCATTAGATTTAATTAGCAAAACAGCTGCTTCTTTTTCTTTTTTCAGAGCACTGCTGTACGAAAACACTGACGTTTTTACGGAGGGAGTTCCCACTGTTTTTGTGTCAGAGGATTTCTCTCCGATATTATATTTGGATTTTAAGAGATTATTTGAAAACTCGAACTCATTTAATAATTTTTCCAGCAACTGCTTCTCACGTTTTAAACAGTCTATTTCCTTCACATACATAAATGGAGGAACACGTCCATCTGATTTTAAATGACGAGAGAGAAGGTCATCGAAAATATATGAACCGCACTTTTCATATCAAATGATTGATTTCATTGATATATAAGTACATTTCACAAAAAACGATCGGTCTTGTTATTTCAGATTCAAACAAGACACATGAATTTGGCGAGATTATAATCGTTATTTCTTGAAAAGCCATTTATATATTGATATATAGTATTGATAAAACTCAATGTTTTTCCTGGCCCCTAAATCCTAAATGTCATAGCAACACGAATCCCACCAAATGCGTAGGACTCAAGTTGGCGTTGATAGAACCTGATTTTTGACAGAGTGTCGCCTCTGTATAATACTCTGTGCTTAGATGCTTATCGTCACGTTCCCGTGAACATTGGCTAGACCAGTTCGGTATGGGTATCATGAAAAAAACCTATAAAACGTCCCAAAAAACCTATAAGGTGTCAACTATCAGACTAGGTAGTTTTTAGGGCGCAAACAGTCATTCCACTTTTGCTCACTAGGATCGTTGTGAACGTCCATCTATGGAGGAATCACTCAACTAAACTACGCATTATTGGTTGATGGTTGCATAGTTTTGTGAAGCTGAGTGATCCCGGTCTGTACTGTATGTAGTTTTTATCTCTGAGAAGAAAGTTGGTTGAATAGCAAGATCGCATCTGGATGATTATGTGTATTGGTCTGCTTGTGTATAAAATCAGTGATATTTGCTGTGTGAGAAAATCATTTCTGAATATGCCGAATAGGACGGGTTATTTATATGTTGTGCTTTCTGAAGAGAGTTTATGTTCAAAGTTATAAATTACGAAAAACTGAGGAGAATTACGGGAAATCATCACCGCGCCGGCGTTGTGTATAATTACTGTTAGCATGTATATGGCTTGTAATTCGACAGTGTACAGTGAATATAATTATTTCTTATCTCTCCCATTTTTGAAATTCAGCAAATTTGTATATGTAATTTCCAGAATGGATAAGAAAAAGTGGATGCGCAACTAATTTCTAGCTTTGAATCTCAATTAAGTGTATTTGATACAAGAACCCAATGTAATTATCATCAACACATACAACTTACAGCTTAGACCTCCAGTAGTGCCATCTCAGAAGCAGATTTTACATCACATCAGAGCCAAAGATTGATAACAAGCCTCATGACGTTTAGGAAACACGTACAACTAAGTGCTAAGTTAGCATCTTGTAGAATAATGTAAAAAAAAAACAGCATAATGTCACTTTTCAAGATACGTGATACCCGCGCCGGAGCGCCACACTCCGGGCACATCACATAGTACTACCAGAGACGACACTGTCAAAAATCAGGTAGTATCAACGCCAGCTTGAGAACTATGCGTTTGGTGGGATTCCTGTTGCGACATTTAGGTGTTATCCGTGGAATGTTTTGACACGTGACCACCTAACAGTTTTATCAATACAAATCAATTATCTGGCCTATATCTATTTGGGTAAATAAACACACTTCTTCATTCTGTAGTTTGATATCTGACATTCGCGACGTCAAGTTAATAACACAACACAACTCCTAGGAAAAAATCCTCCGGGCGCTAATGGACATAAGCGGGAAATATGGTAAGCAGTTGGGCGCGCGAACATCAAAGGGACCGACAGCAGGTGTCGCATGTGTATAATCTGTGATTCTGTGCTCCGGGTGTATACAACTCTCAATTCAAAAGCACTGGAAACGAAAGCAGCTCAAGTGTGCCCATGTGCAAAAACTGACAAGTGCAAAGAACATCTTGATGAAAGCTGTGCCGTTGTTTAGATGTAGTTCACGCTGCTTCCGTGATTGATGCGAGTGGTGTTTGACAAGATTCGATTTGACAGATATTTAACCTTCAAATAAATTAAAAAAAAATTTAAACGTGGGCCCCTTTTTATTGCACCTTATTCAAAATTCCACTTTGCAATGGCTTTGTGGAATATAAAGGATCTTGCGCTACCTCCAATAGCTACTTATAAAGCAAACACGAAAGACATTGGTAAGTGATTTCAACCAGAATTAAGCATTTTCATTGATTTTTCAATTTTCAGACATTGTGTACTTGCGGCAGGTGTGCAGAGATTCAAGGCAGTTCTTTGAAGATAAAAAAATCATGCACGCTGAATACCTGATACTATCAAGAATAGTTTATCGTATGAAGCAAAAATTTCGCTCTGCAAAAGATTTCAAAGCAGTGGTGAAGATGTACAAGACTCTGGATAACTACTTCAAAATAAACATAGCTGAATACATCAACACATTCATGGAGCTTATTCCTTATAATTATGAAGATGATTCAACATATCTCCCAACAAAAAATTTGGTTGACTACATATTAGTCAGACACCAAGGCATAGTAAAACTACTAGTTCGGATTGTAGAAACATCAAAACTTGCAGCACATTTATTAGAAGAAAGAATACATATTGGTCACTCATGGCAGGGTGCTTTTATATTATTTGCGATAGCTTCAAGAGTATATGTTTTAAGCAAATTTATAATTCAAAAGGCTTGTGATTTTTATCAAAAACTACTCCCGTTCTCAAGTAAATTGAAAAATTTGGGTACTGATTGGTTGAAAAGTGACTATAAGCTACCAAAAGACCTTAGACAATGGTTAAATGTTGACTGGTTAGATATTGATGATGAGGTGAAAATACTTGAGGAACCTGAAATTCCAAGAATCACAGATTTCTTTGATCTTGTTGATGATGAGGATGTTCAATTTTGTGATGAATACATTGTCCTTGATGACTCTTTGCTTAATAGAAAAGGTAATAAAAATAATACTATGTTAGAATATAGCATCAAGTCATTGAGAGGATTTGATTTAGAAGATGAAGGTGAAATAATTGAAATAGATAGCATGAGACAGAATACCTCCTCTAATTGTGAGAGTTTTGGAAAATTATTGGAAAAAGACTTACAATTATTAGTAAACGATATGACGGTAATTCCTGCCAAAGGCACAGTTTGTTCAAGCAATGATGTGTTAGATGAATCTACAAAACATATAGAGGATAATGATGATTTAACTCTCTCATTTGGAGATATCTCAGCTATCCCAAATCCAAATGATACTACACTTACTAGAGAAAATGTAGATAAACTACATTCTACTGCTATACACCCAGATGAACTGACAGTTCAAAATATTAATGATAATGCCTCATTTATCCCTCATTCAGAGAGTCAATGTTCTTTAAACAAAAAAAGTGATACCAATATACCATCAAATTCAAGAACGGTAGATAATTCAGTGGAGATAATAGAAAAAGATGTGACAGTCATTTCAATCCATGATACAACACAAGATAAAGCATCATATAATCCTGAAGTAGATGTTTGCTCGTCCATATCATGTAAAAATAAGAAAAATGTTGAGAATGTCCTACCATCTATATCAAACAATACAACGAGATCCTCACAGACCTTAAAGAAGAAGAAACAAAGAAAAATATTAGATACTCCAAAGTATAATGAAACTATCTTCCCGTCAACCTCAAAAACAGGTATCAAAACAGATTGTAATAGTAAACCACAGAAGCTAAGCAACAGCACCAAATCTGTAACAAAAATTCATAAGGCAAGTGATGTTTCAGATTTTGATGTAACGTTACCAACAGGCTTTGTTACAAGTGATGTTTCAGATTTTAATGTAACTTTACCAGCAGGCTTTGTTGTCTTATCATCAGATTCTGAGGACTTAGATAGTACTATTGTAGAGAGCTGTGTTTCAATGCAGAAGGGACCAGAAAAGTCAAGGTTTCAATCACATTATATCAGTGATGATAGTGATGATGCAGATTTGCAGGACAGTTGGTTTTTTGACTATAATAGAAGTGAAATAGCGATAACAAAATATAATCACATGAATAGAAATTTTATTGGTGAACCCAGGTTTCCTTCAGGACACACACCAGGTAAAAATAAGAGGCATAAAAAGAAAAGAAGTGTTAGTAATAGTGATTTTACTGCAAATCCACCAAAAAGAGCAAGATTGGAGAGAGATCAAAAACCAGATATAACAAATAGAAATTTAATTGAACACATTGAGCCAAATGTTAAGGGAAAAAACAGAAAAGGCAGAGGCAAGGGGAAGTCAAAAAGATATTACAATATGAAGATTGCTGAATGAAGTATATATATATATATGCGCCAATCCCGTACTTGTAATATTGCTGTATTTTGCAATATTAAACTGTTCTACTGTACTTTGTTGTTGTTAATGATATTACTCATCATACAATAATGTTATATGCACATAGCCAATAGATTTAAGAAAAAAATACTGGTGGCTCAATATCAATTCTTATCAATTTTCATCCATACATGGTTATCACTGCCATATTTATTTCAAAGTGCTTTCGTGGGGACAACGAGAAGCTATTGCAAGCATGTTACAGTGCACGTGGTGTAAACAAATTTAAGACGAGTGCACGTGGTGTAAACAAATTTAAGACGAAACATGGAGTTGTCTCGAGAGAGTTATCGCGCTATGATTTACTATGAGTTTAATGTCGGTTGTATGGAACGGTTACAAAAGGCATTTGGTAATGCAGCTCCGTCGCCAGGCAAGTGCGTTTCGCTGGTATGCCGAATTTAAAAGAGGGCATGTTTCATTGGCTGATGAAGAACGTAGTGGTAGGCCAAGTTGAAGTGTGACTATGAAAACATTGCATTCCAAGTTCAGCGGCTAATTGAAGAAGATTCTCGCTGCATATATGCGACTATAGAGGCAACTCTTGGGGTAGGTTCCGCAACAGTGCACACAATTTTGAATGATCATCTTCATTTAAAAAAAGTTGTTGCGTGCAATCCGGCATCACGACAATGCCTATAGCCACACTGCCCAACTAACCGTAGACTTTTTACGCCAGCGCCACATCAAAATGCTAGAGCATCCGCCTTATTCGCCAGATTTGGCAATGTGTGACTTCTGGCTCTTCAACAATTGGAAAAAAAATCTGCGTGGTCGTAATTTTCGTTGTTGAAGGCATTCCAAAAACTGACTGGTTAAAAGCAATTCATTTGTGGAAGGTTAGGCAACAGAAGTGCACTAATGCTGTAGGAGAATACTTTGACCATAAATAAATAAACTAGTTTACGAAAAACAGTTTTTAGTTTTCGTGTATCTCAAAATATATAGCGTGGCCCTCGTATTTATAATAATTTGTATTGGATAATGAATGATAGAGATTTTGTTTGCATGAGGAACTCTGGATTAGTTCATCTGGATTTCAGTTCGGAATTTCCTTGTGGCACTTTCCAAAGTTTATGTACTAAATATTATTTTTCTCTTGTTTTATTGCAGTCTGATGTGAGAGTTGCAATTACAATGGTAAATTAAAAGCATAGCTGAGAAAAAATTCACTCATGCAATGATAAAGTATCAAAAACTTTTGGATAGTCCATAACTTTATTAGTTTTTGTGTGTGCCAAAATGAGAAAATCACAATGTATTTTATTGAATTCTATGTTCAATCTTCTTCTCTATCATTTGAGCTGTTTCAAAAGCCTGCTAATAATTTCATTAAAAGCAATTTGAGATACAAGTGAAGGTATTTGTCATTAAAAAATTCCAAAATCAGATTCACTTAATTTTTGTGATGTCCTCTAAGTTTGGTTTGCCCCTGAAAGGTTATTTCACAAAAATTTGTTTGTTTCATACTTTTTATGCAGATAGGTAGTATGTAATAGAATGTACATATAATACAGGAAAGCATTGTTTCTTTTGAGCAAATTTTGGTGTGCACTTTTACTGCTTATTTGTTATACATGATACTAAATGGTCAATAAACATCTTTTAGTCAAAATTCACAACTATAAGCATTTGTCTATTGCTAAACTAATACCATGAAATAAAGGATGTGAGTTTAGTTTTATGTCACTGAATTTATTATGAAGAAACTTGATAATAAATAGGTATTTCATCAAGTTACAATTGAACCTAGCAATAATGGGGAGAGTAAAGATAGGTCATTATAATATCTATTAACATTGTTTATATCTTTCCTGTTGAATTATGACTAGGATGTTGAAATAATACACCCAAGTACCACTGACAATCAATAAAAGAGGTCTTTATTATGTGCCAGATATGAATCATCCAACATTATCAAATATTCACCGAATAGTACATTTATCAAATTTTAAGTATGAAGATTGACAATCAGTACAATAACATCCTTTTGTTTTTTGCTGTTAATATCATAGCCTTGTTTTGAAGATGTCATGGAATGTGATGCAATTTTACCATGAAATAAGGTTTAAATGACAGCCTTCAGGAAAAAAGTTTTGTCTTGACATCTTATCACCAATTATCTTTAAATCTTGAAATAAAAAGTCCCTTGTCATACCAAATTTTGGGACATACGAGATAAATGAAGTTTCTAAACATTAAAACAAAAAAAAGTTATAATATCAGCACTTGTCTGCTATGTTCATTATATCATGTTTGTTCTCTAACTTGATCACTAACAGCTGCATTAACCATAGCTGCTAAATCATCTGTTCTACTTCTTTCTTTCAATCTATCTCTGATCAATTCTGCTATCGCTCTTTGAGTTTGTCTCTCCAGCCTGGCTAACTTTCTGGCCACATCCCTTTTCAAGTCCCAATCTGGTTTTCTTGGTGCCAAAGCAGTTACATCTAGTTGATCTATTACTACACTTGACTTAGCTGCTTCAAGGTGGTCTTTAATCTAGAAAGTAATGGTTATTAAGGATGCCTCAATACCAATTTTGTTAAGATTTCATTTTCCACTATCATGTGTGTCAAGTCCAAAGTCTTGTGGAAGAAGCTATATGACAGAATTTTATTGTAGTTGGGTTTCAGCTGTAACAACATTTAGGAACAAAATTTGGATTTGAACAATCACCTCTGCTGTGACGTCCCCAGGTATACTAGGTTCTTTGGTGAAGTCATTCAGTTCTTCATTAGCAGGTCTATAGCTCCTAAAAATAGGTTTTGGCAACTCCATACAGGAGTTGTCTTCAGACTTTTCTTTTCCATCACTTATGTCTCCTTCACGTTTGCGTTTTAACGCTTTTAGTCGCTCTCTCCGTTTTAGAGCTTCATCTTCTAAATGACCAATATTTTGTTCACCTGCCATCATATATTACCATCTAATAAATCTGATTTCCAATTTACCTCACGCAAGTGAACATTTATATTTATTGTTATTTTTAAATTTTGACATAACATAACCTTACTTCCTGCTTATAGCGACACCTGTTGCGTAAAAGTTTATAATATGCTTATCGGCAGATTTCTATCATCGCACCATCCATTGAACAGTAAAGATGGATTATCGGATTATAAGTAAGACAAGACTTGGCTCCGGCTTTAAACTGCGGTTCGATGCACAAAACGTTCGATGAAGGTAGAAGGATGAAACTATTACATCGTCTATAGTCCCGATATAATTTTAGATGTGGTCTGTGGTCTACGTAGAAATGGGGTATACAGCGCCATCTATCAGATAATGTTCATATCACAGAAAATCTCCTGACACCGACGGAGGAAATGACAGATAACGTAGCAACGAATACCTAGTTTGTGGATGACAAATATTGTAGCAGAAGTTAGTATGACAGTATATGTTTTGCGGTATGACAGTTCTTTAAGTTCGTGAGTTCGTGCTTCAAGGCAGGGAGGTGTAACATGGGCGAAGTGGCAACATCAGGGTCATCCTCTCCAGGCAAAATCGAGGAAACTGCATTACCGGCATCACGTGACGTACTGCTTGCCGGTATTTTTTTTGAAAACAATATATTACAAAAATAGAGTATTACAAAATATAATAACATTCAATTCTCTAAACAGTGCTTCAAAAACACTGGCATCGAGAACAACAACATTCTGAATGTGCTTATTACTAATTACAATATTTGACTACAAATACAATGTGTTATTTGCTGCGAATATGATCTTCTAATTTCTTTACAAAACAGTTAAAGCTATTGTTACTGCTTTTTATGCTATTTGGCAATTTATTGTATGCATTTGATGCTTGCGATATGGGATTATTCAAACCTATTTCAGTACTAACATTATACATGTAGATATACATACAACATGTGTGTGTGTTCTAGTATTATATTTGTGTATGTCATTTGAAAATTGAATCTCAGTATTGCACTTTAAGGCTTTAGTAATTTCTTTATGAATAAATTTACATCGTTCTAGCTCAAGAAGCTGATTTAAGTTAAAGATGTTCAATTCCTTGTACAGCTCAGGTGTATGTGTAAACCAATCCAGATTGAATAAAACCTTCAATGCCTGATTTTGAACCCTTTGTACTTTATTATAATTTACCTTCCCTCAAGTACCCCATACAGGAAGAAGGTACATAAGACATGATAAAAAATAAGCATTGTAAATATCATATTTAACTTTAATTGTAAAAAATGATCTATTTTTTTATAGGGCACCAATCATTGAAGTGATTTTTTTATTACATTGTGAACATGTTCATTCGAAATTAAATTCTCGTCGACCATTAACCCTAAATATTTTATACAGGTAGTCAGTGCTAAAAGGGCAAAAGGGCATAAACTTTGTTTTATCTACATTCATCTTCAACTTATTATATAACAGCAATTTATAGTACACATCTAAATCATTATTCATCACAGTTTCCAAGCTTACTTTACTATCTCCTGAATATAACAATACAGTATCATCTGCAAAGGTAAAATAGTCACAATTAAGATTAGCACAACGCCACAACGCAGACTTAAAACATAAAGGGAATATAAAAGAGGTCCCAAGACAGACCCTTGGGGTCCACCATAAGGATTTGGCAGATAGTGACTGTTGTTATTACCTATTTTGACATATTGCTTTCTATCGACTAGATATGATTCCAATAGATTATATAATGCTCCTCTAAATCCCATACCTCTAACCTTTTGTAGCAAAATAACAAAACTTACTACATAAAATGCCTAAGGTCTAGAAATACTGCAATTACAATTTTCCTATTATCTAATGCTGTTGCTATTTTATTTACAAGATCTATGTATATCTTTATCTAAATATAAATATACCAAATACGGCGTTTGTTTTGGTTAATATCCAGATTATCGAAAAATTATAAAAATGACTAGCTTATTTTCAAAGAATTATGAATTACATTAGCGTTTTCTTTATTGTTTCATAATTATCAAGAAGCAATTCAATGAAGTGAGACAGATGTGTTTTACAACACCACACAACATGAATCCTATCTATATTTCCGTGCAATACAATTTGTATACCATGGTCATCAGCATATGAGTATTTTTTGACACTATAAATATATTTTGTGCTTCATAATTAGTGTTGGATTTCATTATTGTGAATCTTGTTTTCAGCAAAACTGCTTAAACCACTTATTGGAGATATTTTATGTATATACGTTCATGAAATAATTCTTCAAATATCATTTTCAGCAGATTTCAAATTATAGACAAACGAAATCTCCGGCACATTCCTGACATTCCTTATTTCAGGCGCATTCTCGGCATTCTTTGGATAGTTCCTCCAGATCTCCAAACAAGTATATGGCACAACCATCTGACAAACGTCAACGGTGATGCCATCGTTTAACGCGCAGCTCCCGCTTCTTCAGCCTTGTGTGTTTTGTGCTTCAAGGTGTTGAAAAACCTCTGGAAAACCCGAAAGACAACAATTACATAATTTAATGAATAAGTTTTTAAACAATTTTTCCAGTGTTCCCTGTTGAAATCATGTCAAGGAGGAGTTGACTATGTTGTTTTTGTACAAAAACTTGCTTTTTTGCAAGTCTAATCATAAGGAAGTAAGTTACGTCATAATAATTTAGAGGTTATTATGCTTTCTATCCCATGTATTTTTGTAGATAATCAAGAGAATTGCTTCCACTAGACCACCAGAGGCAGTCTTTATTGAAAAAGCTCTTGAAGTACCTGTGATAGTGATCAATGAACAGGATGATGTGGACTTGATTGGGGCTCCAGATCCTGTATCAAACTTGAGGCCAATACTAAGGAAAATACATTTACATGAAACCCCTCTACAACAGAAACTGAGAGAAATGCAGGATGCGACGCAGTCATGGAATCAAGGTTTTTGGGCTAAACATAATACCAAATTCATGAAGGTATAGTCTTTTTCATGAGTATCCATTATGGTAGATTGACAGCTGATTATCTAGCATTTCAAAATTACCCATATTGGCAAAGGACACATAATTCTGACGAATCCGTCAATGCTAGGTAGAGAGTGCCATATTTATTTTGTGTTTTTGTAGGCTAGATATTTATTTTGTACTTGGTAAAAGCTCTTTTATTTAGAAAATATTAGTTGTGTACAAAAAACACAATGCTATAAACAAGTTTTACTAGGTTCACACCAGTTTCATTATTGCTATCATTGCAGACTAACACAAAGATGTCACTTGTTGAACAGTTGTTCACCCCAGTAGATGTCAAAGCATGATGGATACTCTTGAGGGTATAGGTACATAGACAGTATTTATAAGCTTATCTCAATATGGGGATGAAAAGGGTTACCACATTCATTTTGGTTAATCTATCTAATTTAAGCCAGCATCTTATAAGAATTTATAGTATTTTTAAAAATAACAAGATCATAGTTTGAGAATATCCTGTATATAACTATAAGTAAATATTGGTGGTACGCCTTTCTACCTGTAAATATTGTCTATCTGTGTTTATTGACGCACAATATAGTGTTTTAGTCATTTAGATATTTTGCTGGCACTCTGTCAAATATAAACTTGCTGGAAGAATTCAATGCTTATGATTCAATTGATTATTGTAGGAAAAACAAGAATTTATAAATTCCCATCAAATTCCCAGTGAAGAAAAGAAACATTTAACAGCTGATGAAATGAGTGAATTTTACAAAAGGTTTCTTGATGATACTTGGGAAACACACTTGAAATATAACATTGAGTGGTATAGGAGAAATTTTACTCTGTTGTTCTTAGCTTTATGTGTTAGCTTAGAGAGGAATTATTCTGCATATTTGCCCAAGTAGACATGACAGAGGTGATTATTTAATTTTAAGAAAATTCTGATTTGTAATATTATTATACTCTTGTGTATCAATATTATGTTCATTATATATCTTTCCTTAGTGGAATTTAAGTCATTTTTCTTTCTAATCTTCAATTCTGTATGAATCATTTCCAGAATGCTGATGTATATTTATTGATTGCTTTATCCTCAATGGAATCAGCTAATTAACATATTTCTATTTCAGAATGTATAGTATTGACAGACTGAGACAAACTGCAGCTACTGAATGTTGTTCAGAATGGGATTGTTTCTGTACTGTTTGTTATATTTATTTGAAAAAATGTTTTCATTAAACAAAAATAGTTTTATTTGTGTAACTTGCCTGTATTAATACTAGTGGTACTGGAACAATATGTAAGGCCAAAAATATCAAGAATATCAACCAGATACTGTGTCCCAGGATAATACAACATTAGCTGAGTCACAAAATATTGTGAATCTACAAAAACATGTCTGATAAAAAAGAAATTGTGGGCTCATCACTTGTCTTTCCAGTTCATCTATGCAAATCTTACTAGACAATATCATGGAACATGAAATTTATATTAACTACAAAAAAATTTAAAAATAAAATTATATCAGGTTATAATAATGTTCCTTCATTCAAGGATATTGTATAATTTAGCAATAACTCTTAATTTTCCTGATAAATGGAAGTTGACCAAATTCATTCCTTTTTTTGAGTCAGGTAATAAATCAGTAGTCTCAAATTTTCATGGTATATTTTTCTTATAAAACTTTTCAAAGCTTCTTGAAATTGTGTTGTGTAATTTTATAGGTATTTTCTGTTATCCATAGTAGTGTATATCCTATTTCACGAGTATCCATCATGCTTTGACATCTACTGAGGTGAAAAACTGATCAGCAAGTGATCTTTTAGTGTTAGTCTGTGACATTGGCAATAATGAACAGGTGTAAATTTAGTAAAATTTGTTTGTAGCGATTTGTTTTTTGTATGCAAATAAACAAAAGAGCTTTTAGATAGTGCAAAATGAATCTGTAGCTGACAAAAAACCAAAACAAAATGCGGCTCTGACTACCTGACGTTGATGGATCCATCAGAATTATGTGTCCTGTGCTGATATGGGAAATTTTGAGATATTACTAGATAATCAGCTGGCATTCGACCGTAATGGATACTCGTGAAATAGGATATAGTAGGTACCAACTCGACATGGTTTTGTGAGTTGAACATCTAACTAAATCTAATCTGGTACCTACTTTTTAGAAAACAAGTTTCTGAAACTTTAGATCTGGGTGGGTATATTTTTCTAAAGCATGTAAATTATGATGTCCTTAACAAAGTTGACAGTTTCGGCTTCTCAACAGACTTCATTTCTTTCTGAAAATCATATTTATCCAATAGACCACAGTATGTATTTTCTAATGACCACAGTTTCAACACGTACAAAGTAAGCTTAAGCATCTACAAGGGTCAAATTTGGATCCACTTCTGTTTAACCTATTCATAAATGAACTGGATGGTGTAATTGCAAACATCTGACACATGATCGCATTTTACGGGGGGGTCTTCTATCTAACATTTTTTCCTCGAGGGCTTCAATAGAAAGATACGGGGTGTTGAATTTTAAAAATTAAAAACATTTTTCTTATATCTTCAAAACCGTCAACTGGAATGTGGATTTACCGAAGTATTGTCCATATTCAAATGACTTAAAATCAACGTGCACCAGTGGCGGAGGTACAGGGGATTAATACGCCACTGTTTTTTTTCGAATCACGCATTTTTTTGAATTTTACCTTCAATTTGCTGCAAATAATTACTCTTGTTTTTTTTCGTATAGTGCACTGTTTTCGTAAAAATAAAACAAATTAGATCATTCATGAAGAGCCGAGATACAATTAGTTTCAAGATAAAATAGGATACCTTGATACCAACTTGACGTTTCTTGGAGGTAGTTTATCAAAGTTATGTGTGATACGGTTGTTATCGTTACTACTACCATTTTTTTTTCTAAAAGTCAGGTCAAAAGTTTCTTTTTTTCATTTTTGAGTTTTGTCAAATTGAATTTAGCAATGATGAGTACGCCATTATTTTTGTGTACGGGTTCCGTAATGAAAATGCTTTAGCGGCTTCTCGGGAGTATCAACTTAGATTTACTAACAGACGCCAACCTGCCCCAAAGGCTTTTACGCGTTCATTTACAAGACTGCAGTATGGAATTGCCAAACTTCCCGAAGTTAGAGGCCATGATGCCGGCATACTGTTCAAGAAGAATTTAATTCTCATTTTCTCATAATGAACATATTTGGTCGTTAGAAAATCCCCGTTCTGTAAGAATCCACTCGTTTCAACACAGATCTTGTAGAAATGTCTGGTGTGGCATTTTCAATTGTCAACTGTTTATGGACGTATTGCCACAACGTTTAAATGGAAGCTTATACTTCACTTTGCTGGGGTGACCAAAGCGGTAATTATTCATTTGTTGTTTGATTTACTGGACAAGATGGAATGGATTAGATAGAACCAGATAATATAGGATGTTTCAGAAGCTACATCGAAATAAATATAACCTTAACTATAAATACTTTTATTTATATGAATTGTGTCCATTTATTCAAATTACAAGAAGTATGTCCTTGGCTTGCGCACAGAGAAGCGGTTCATGCTCTTGTGTTGAATACGTTTTGGCAATGGGAAACGTATCTTGGAATCATGGAACTGCTTCACTTGTGGCCTCCTGGTATCTGCTGCTTTCACCTGTTCCACTTTGATTACCTGAAGAAGAAATAATGATCCTTAATAATAATATTGTCTCGGCCAAGTATTCAAGCAATATTTGGAAATATATAAAAAAAGTCTAAAGTATTTACTATAAACTATAATAATGAATTTTACTTGATAATGTATTAAATGCTTCTAAAATTTCGTGTTAACATAAAATATATTCAAAGATTAAGTGCTATCAAAATTTCTGTGTTACTGGGTGTTTAAAATATTTTATCACAAAGTTATTACTACAGGAGACTGGTTATTATACACAATTTCATGTTTCACTGATGGACAGTTTTTTTTATCAAAGCATGCAAGAACCAATAATAAAATCAAATAATGTAGAATTAAAAATAAGGTGTTACAAATTATTGTACCAAAGCAATCATTAAGAACAATGTCAGGTACTAATACCAGGTAACTGATTATTGAATCAACCAGCTCCAACGATGCGGTGTACCTATTTTATCTTGCACCGATTCGACCTACCAGCACATTACATGTGGTGGTAGGAGATACCATAGTGCTTTTCATTTTACATACATATTCTAGTACATTTTTTAATTTAAATTTATTATTATTTAAACAAAAACCACCTTTGTATCCCACTAAATTTAGGACACCTACCAGGGTGTAAAGACCAGCTGAGAGTCAGAGATAAAGAAATCTGCTTAGTTTTCTTGAGAATTTAGTTTATTTAACACTTTTACATATAACTATGTTGTACGGTTAATATAACCTAATAATGGCATGAATTTTTTCAGTTGAAGAAATGCCAATCATTATTTTTGTCTTATGCAGTACTTGTAACTTATTCAACTAAATTATTTTATGTTCAATCTGGTAGGCTAAAACCTCACTAATTCTCTAGCTTCGCTATAACAGCCTTTTACGTTTCTCCATCCGAATAGACTGGGATTAATCCTATACATACTGTGACACTGCCATATTGAGGAAATAGAAAAAAATTAACGAAAATACACATTAACATGCATTGTGCAGCTTTCATTTTTCTGTAGAATGTCTTCCCCATTGAGTCATGGCGTGCGTCACTAATGTGATATTATGTAGGGCTGAGGAGCTCGAAGTCATATGCACAAATTTAATTATTAAAAATATCCATCAACAGAAAAACCTATGAAGTGATGACATCTGATAACAGCACACGCCCTACGAAAACAAACATTTAATACCCATTATATATAAAATATTTTAAAACTTCCATAGTTACACTCATTTTCAGTCCCATTTCTTTCTTCTACACCCAAAACTAGTGTTTATAATCAATGGCTGGTGTAGCTAAGCTAGAGAATTAGCAAAATCTCTAATTCATACCTGAATAGAATGAGCCCTAGCACGATGACGGGCCCCCATGTCTCTATAACATCTAGTGACAGCTCCAGACACACTGAGATCCCTATACTCTCTGTACATGTTGTGTGTGCCAGATCGAGAATCGTACCTCAGCCATATACCAAAGTTCTTGATTTTCATTGGGGATTTTTCTGGTATTGGCTTCAAGGAGACAATCTCGCCAGTGGACTTCTTAAACTTCTTCAATTGCCGCAAAAAGTACCAGAACCGCGACTTAGCTACGATCGGATCTGGGGCGAAGATTCGCATTTTGTACAGCGGAGGGTTTGTTTCTTTGTCAGAAGGCAACTTGCGGCCGATGACTTCATATTCTTTAAGCTACCAAAAAAAGTTAGGTTAGAATTGGACTTGATATTTGATGTTTTACTGTTAGATTCGATACGAAATGCAGGAAAGGTGAGAGAACATGCAATAATTTCCCGTACATGGTTATTTTGAGCAGAAAACTAAGAAAAATATTTGCAACTTTAGTGTAATGCACGTGGACATCAACCTCTAAAAACCAGCGCAATAGATTGAAAACCGAGTTTCCGACGATAGAAAATGATATATAAGTATTATCTGCACACTTGTAAGTTCAAAAATAGTGCGAATTCTCTTTAAAAGATTGTTTTTTGCATACTAACCTCTCCTTTCGCCTTCATGGCTGCTGTTTTTTCATGAAAAGAACACGGGGATTCGGCGTGCCTGACGCCTGACGTATTGATATTTTTGACAGAATGACGGGCTGACTGACTAATAAGTTGACAAGTACTATACGCCGAAAATGAGGCGCGGTTTATGAGAAGACAGTTATCACGTGACTGCTATTAGCTTTGCTGATTGACCAGTTAGTCAATTGCAATGTTGCCAATATATTATATCAACTCAATGGTATCAACCGAGATATACAGGGTTACAGGAAAAGTCGTGCTAGATCCGTTAAGGGCGTGTAGTACCCATCATTTCTGACTTATTTCATTATGAAACACCCTACCCGCAATGAATACAGAACTCGCTTCCCCGGTCGTCGAGTGCCGGATGTGGCCGTTTTTAACAGAGTTTATCTAAGACTTCGAGAAACTGGCTCTGTTTTGAGACGAAATACAGACCTGGGAAGACCACGAATTTATGACAACGAAGAACTGCAGGACAATGAGATAGTGCAACGCTTTCGAGCGGATCCGACCATTTCCACTAATCGTGTTGCCCGTGATCTGGGACTTTCGCAATGGAGAGTGTGGTTTACAGTGCATACTGCTGGCCTATACCCGTACCATTACACGCCGGTACACACTATTGAAGAAGGAGACCCCGCGAGAAGGTTGGACTTCAGCAGATTTATGCTAAATGCTGACGTAGAAGACCCAGATTTTCTAAGAAATATCTTATGGACAGATGAATCCAAATTTGATAACGATGGCATAACTAACTATCACAACGCCCATTACTGGGCCCCAAAAGTACTAAGGAATCCCAATAAGAAAAGAGTGGCGAGGTCCCAACGAAGATTCAGCGTGA